TCCTCCCCCCCACAAAAAAACCCCCCCCAATGTGGGCATTTTTTTTTTTTTGTTTTTGGGCCCCCCCAAAAAAAAAGTTTTTTTTTTTTCCCCCCCCCCCCCACCCCACTTTTTTTTTTTCCCCCCCCCCCCCAAAAACACCACCGCCAGGTCCTTATTTTTTCTCTCTCTCTCTCGGTGTCTGGCTCACCTCCACCCCCGCCGCCATACATCCTTCCCTCCCCCCCCCCCCCCTCTCTTTCTCACCTCCACCACCAAAAACACCACCGCCATGTCCTTCGCCGGGGAGGTTTGGCAAGCGCCGATGTTCTTGAGGCACGCGCAGAACCGGCACACCGCCAGAAGCAGGGCGTACGCGGAGATGACCAACACGTACGAAATGAACTGGATGAAGAACTTGTGGTTGCCGATGCCGACGCAGTTGTTTACCCACGGGCAATGGTGGTCCATCTGGAGGCGTATCGGGCGAGCGGCGGAGTGTGGCGGAAGGGGGGACAGGGAGATAGGGAGAAACAGAGAAGGTTGGGGCAAAGAGAGCAGACAACGAGGTACAAGACAGGACGTTAAGACCACATGCAGGACGTTAAGACCACATGCAGGACGTTAAGACCACATGCAGCTAGCGACCAAGCGAGAGAGAGAGAGAGAGAGAGAGAGAGAGAGAGAGAGAGAAAGAGAGATCGAACAAAGAGGTGCCTAAACAGCAAGCACCCCATAGACAGGTAGATAGACAAAGAGAGAGACGACTATAGACCGCAAGAGATACAGACGATAAGAGAGACACAAGAAACACAAGAAGAAACAAATCGCCGCATCTACAAGGAACAGGCGGCCAGACGCAACACGACGGACAAGCAATCCCACAAAACCGACGGGCGACGATCGAGACCCGTGTAGCATCCACGTATATTCTGCAGAGGTATAAACATCCCCTTTCGACTGTGGTGCTGTCTCGAACTGGTGGTCTTTCTGTGAGAGTATGTGAACTTTCTAAAAACGGTACGGAGAACGCCATGGTAGTGACAGAGTACGGTAGGTTGCATCGTAGTGCGCAGGCGGGGCAGGCGAAGCGTCAACCACAGGCTGTTCACAAGGCGCGCAACAACATGTGGTCGAAATACCACAAGCGATCGCAAGAAGCGGAACAACAAAAATTCCATCGAAGACTACCACATCAGTACATAGTCGTTCGCAAAACCCGGCGCGGCTAAGCATGCTCACTGAAAATACTCCAACACATCCCGTTCGACTGTGGGTATATCTCGAATGGGTATGATAGTCTTTCTGTGGGCGTATTCATTTTTCCTAATACATGACAGCAACGGGAGGCGTAAACAAGACCTTCCAACGCACACGGCAGTCAACCCCCGACCAAAGTTGCGAAACAGGCTCAGCACGTGGCCGTCGAAAGCACGAAAGAGAAACAGAACCTGACTGGAACAACAAGGCGTTCCCGAAACATAAGGCACAAAAAAATAAAACCCTGCCAGGTACACGCTTGGCCGTCAACGGATATCAGGAAAGCGGACAGTGCCTGTTTGGAACAAAAAACATTCGCGACACAAATAGGACCTTCCACGATGCCTGGTGTTTGGTGTGTATTTGGCCTCTAATGCCTGAAGGCGGGGCGAGTCAGTCGGGACGCACCCCAAAAGCACAGCGTTGTCATCAGAAGCCCTTCCGGGAGCGCCTTTCCCCAACACAGAAAACAAACAGATGGCCCATCCTGACCCCCTTCCAATATATATCCCATGTAATATAACGATGCCATTCAAAACAACGCTCCCACAACACCAGCAATAAGAAGAAACTACCACTCTCTGTATGGAAATATAGGGAGAATTCGAACAATCACAATTTGTGAGTATCCGAACGGAGTATAAATCCCGAACAGAGTGATACCACTTCAAATCATAAATACCTTCACGACGCATCGGCGGCAGATCGAGCAGTGGTGCGCGCGCACGGGCTTGTACGCGTTGCACTTGCGGCAGAACCGTCGCGAGTCCGCTGCGAAGTCTCTCCCGTTGCCGCTTGCGCCGCCGCCGCCCGCCGCCTCCACCTCGGCAGCTGGCGGCTGCCATCAAGACAAAAAGAGGTACAAAAAGAAAAAGGGCGCACAACAAAATTATTGATATGGGACATCATCACGTGCGGGAACGGCGTGGGCGTGGGCAAGGGGGGGGGGGTACTCATAGTTGTGCATGCCGTACTCGTTATACCATTGACCTCATTCAAGTGTGTTCTGAACATCACGCCGAATAGTGCGCCGGGCCCTGCGACAGCACGGAATAATTTCTGCGCGCCCGCTTGCCCGGCCGGGTCGAGCTCGACCGTTCCTCTCGACAGATGTGCGTACCTACACTGCGCCCACGAATGCCGGTACACCACACAATCAATAAGAGCGTGTATACTCGATACAGTTCCCGGAGATGCTCACGTCCAACATACTCGACGCGGATAAACCACCAACAACAGCAGTAAGAATCGCTTTCTACCATGTCGGCCCTGTGTGTAACGAGAACGAGGCTCGCCGTACTTGATTATCCCCTCGCCGCTGGCCTGACTTTACCGCATTATTTTTTTCATGCAAAAACACAGTGAATTCATCTCCATCCACAGATAAGGAAGAGTCCGGCATAAATTAGCTATGAACTCATACATAGCGTTATACCATGAATGACCGGGTGATTCTACGACCAGCATACAGCACGAATTCATCTCCATCCACATATGAAAGTCAGGGACAAACTAGCAACTAAATTATAGCTTCATACCAACAACAAACCTGTGTTTCTACGACTCCCTGAGAAGCGATACAGAAGTACTATTTTTTTTCCCCTTTTTTTCTCACCAAGGCGTGGCACGACACGGCTCCCGGATCCGTCAGCATGGCCCTCGCGTGCGAAGCGTGGGCGAGGCAGGCGAGCAGGTTAAAGGCCACCACGTGGATCACCCCGAAGAAGGATCGCCCCAGCCACTGCCCGACCACGCACACCGTCACCGCGTACTGGGCGTAGGCCACGAGGCCGTACGTGATGACGGCACAGATCAGGCCGCACGGGTCCAGGTTACCCCAGACGGGGGATCTGTGGAGAGCGGGAGAGGAGCAGGGGGGGGGGGGGGGGTACTACTCATAGTCGTGCATGCCGTAGTCCGTAGACCATTTACGTCGCATTCCTGTAAAGCCGGGGCGGAGCACGCCGGGTTTTCACCGACCCAGGCTCTCATAACACCAAGCGCGAAGCGCCGTGAGGCATTCGGCGAGTCACATAGAGGGGAGGGGGGTTCGGCTTGTTGGCCTCGCCACCGGGATATAATTCACTGCGTAGAGTTCAATACTCACAGGCGTCGCACCCATGCTTGTTCTTTTCCCGCACGTCTTTCGCCGAACGACCACGCGTTTTTTATCTTTGGTTCAAAATGTCAATCCAATACGAGCCGACACAACCAGAGGCACGTTTTTCGTTTGAATCGAGGAACAACCCTCGGACAAGTAATCGAGACCAAACCAACAGAAGGGCCACCCAAGACCATGCGCCGCTTTCCCGTCCTTGTTGGGATTCTTGACCTTTCTCACGAAAGTTGGGGACTTCAAGTCCATTTCGGGCGCTCCACTGGCAACCCGTGAGAGCGAGATGTTCAGATCCAGCTACAGGCGAACCCGCGCGCCTCGCCCTCTTACGAAGCATGCTACACCGATCGGAGGGGGCCATGTTCAGGTGCTTCGCCAAGACAGCTACCATCACCTACCGTCGCCATCCATGCGCCACGCCAGGAGCCAGATGCTGTACACATCAGAAGTAGCGGGCTGCCGGCTGCCCACGACTCCGCCGCGAGCCGTTCTTCTCCAAGACGTCACCCCCCCTTCAGCCGCAACGCCGCCCGCCCGGCGCCGCGGCGTGCCACCCTGCAGCCCATGACGCCGCCGACACGTGGAGGAGGCAGTGGGAGGCCATCCTTTGGCGAGGTTTCTTCGCGGCACCAGGTGGAGGGCATGTCCCCGATGGCCTCACTGGGTAGGTCAGGATAATGATTGTATGGGCATTCGAGCGATGCCGGTTGTAGATGCCCATACAATTCATCCTGACCTAGCCAGTGAGACCATCGGGGACATGCCCTCCACCTGATGGCGCAACAAAGGAACTAGCCAAAAATAGCCTCCCACTGCCTGCTCCATGTGTCGACGCCGTCATGGGCTTGCAGGGAGGCACGCCGCGGGGCCGGGCGGGCGGCGTTGAGGCTGAAGATATGAGATCTTGAGAGACGACATGCCGGCGTAGTCCTGGCAAGCCCGCCGCTGCTGCTGTACACCATCCGGCTCCTGGCGTGCCGCATCGCTTGCGATGGAAGGAGTGGTGGCCGTGGCGGCTGTCTTGGCGAAGCTCACGAACATGGTTTTCCTCGGATTTGGTGTTGCAATCCTCGCAAGCGGGTGATGCGCATCCAGGACCGTCCATGTCGTCGCGGTGAAGTGTGGTTAGGGTTGAGTGGAATCTGCGATGTGAATCTTCCTCGATAGGTGGTTCGGACATTCTAACTTCGGTAGAGGGCCCTCAATGACGCCGGTATGTGCCCGGCAAATCAACATGCGCTATTCAAAGCACACGGGGTACCGAGTGAGTTGTTTTGCCACGGATATGGCGAGAATCAGTCTGTGTTGGCCATGTTCGCCGACATCTTTCCCAAAGCGCACGGGGTACCGAATGAGTCATTCGCCGCGGATATGGTGACAACCAAAGAGACGGTCGGTGACGCTCCCGGCGTTAGCAGCACCAGAGGTATGTAGGGGTACATAAGAGAACCTACGCCATGGGGGGAACGCACGCCCTTCCGGGAGCGGCCGCGCACAACCCATTTCCCCGCCTAGCCACCGGTGGAGGCGCTTTCGGCCTCGTCACCCACCCTCTCCTCTCGGGCTATCGTACCGCCGCGACACCCCACGATCGAGTGGGGAACTACCAATGGTCCGCAGCTCGCATGACCGCGGCTCGGCTCCGCAAACTACTCTGGTGTGCTTGATTGAGGGCCGTTCTGAATGACGACAACGACCCGTGTACTTTTTACGCGCTCCTTAAGGGTAGGAGGGGCTAGGCCGGTCAGTCGCTAATAGCGGGGACCCTTGTACAAGGCCTCGTGGAGCTAGTGGGGTGGAAGACGAAACGGATAGCCCAGCGTTAGGTAGGCCCGACGACACATACGTGGGGGGCGGGGGGTTCCTCCGCTAAGCGACCGCGAGATCAGGACCGAAGCGAGCAGGAGCAGCGGAATAATACAAGCAGTTGATCTGCCGTTGCAAGAAGGCTTTGCTGAACGGTTTGCGTTCGGGTCCTAATGACAATCGAACGTCGGTTTTAGGCATCTGGGGAAGTTTGGGATAAAATCCCAGGCAGGCAACAACAGGGAATGGAAAGTCGGAATAATGAAGTATGGGTGGATCCCGCACTATAGCCAGAGGCCTCATTCCTCATTTCATCCCAAACTTTACATCGTCGATGCTACACATCCCGAAGCAAAATAATGTCGGAATCATGTAACCTCGAAGGGGATCCGCGGATGACAACCGATTTGCCTGCAGAGAGGCTTGGAGAGAGCACCCCCCACGCACCCACTCGTCACAAGCCTTCCCAACCCTAACGGCGGGGAAAGTGCGGTGGGAATAACAGCCGGTCTCTCCGCCCGCCCAACCGTGTTTATTGCCCGGGGAATTGCTTTCTGCGCGACGGCCACGTTGACGACACGGAGGACGTCAACGCGGGGTAGTAACCCTGGGTGGAGCCTCCAGGCTTTTCGTAGCTGGAGGCCTCGTTTCATCCCAAACTTCAAATCGTCGAGCGATCCCGCGAAGTATCTGTGGTAACGTCGATAAAAATATGCTTGTACCGCTGTAGTCTAGTATGTAGCACAGACTACTGCGTGGCAGGAGCACAAAGCCTTCGAAATTCAAGTGGTGGCAATGAAACAGCTGGCTTCCGTCTTTAAGGTCTTGTGATGAGTGCGCACCGTACGGTATACGTACCTGGTGTGACAGCTACGCCTGTAGTATGGTACGGTACAATACGGAGTACTGATACAGTGCCGCCGCAGTCTTCCACATGGATGCGAAGTCCCGTCCAGCAAAACGGATTTCAGGACACAGCAGTCAGTCGTGCACAAGCGAACATCCAATGCAAGGCGTGCGAGGACGAGGACAAAGACGGGGTGCTTCTGCTGAGGTACGTCGTTGTCTCGTTCGGAAGTGAGGGAGGCTAGCCTGCAACGTGGAAACAAGACACAAGACACACGACACACAAGACCTCCGTCCCCCAGAACACAAAGCGCCTGTATCATCCAACAGACGATATGCAAATATGTGCGTCGGAGAGAATCACAAATTCAAGAGACACACGAAGCAATCGTCCTTTTCACTTCCAATGCCTCACCCTTCCGCTGTTCCGCACATCTGTCTGCCCATCGCCCTGCGTTTCCGACAGCACCCGCGTGTCGTTGCTGTGCGTGGTGTAGGCGAGAGCAAAAGCAAGGCAGGTTGCATTGGTTGGTGCACAGTTACAGAGATGTACCTGTATTCGTAAGCCAGACATGTACATTCTGCGGAACCCCGAGACGTCGATTTGAAGCTGGAAGCCAAAGCTGGATCAGCAGACTGCCCTGGCTAGTGCGTCCTCTCCACAGTCTCTGACAATCCCGATGCTGCTCGTTTGCATAGTTCTTGCCTCTGTGCTGGTCCAGTCTTCCAGCTTCTTGACACCGTTTCCCGTTAGCACAAGCAGAAACAGCAACTCTGCCATCAAGGTAAGCTTCGTCGAGACTACCGTATATGACACAAGATAACACACCCCCTGGCCCGATTTTCAAAGCTTGATTACTCGATGACGAAGAGGATACATAAACGAAATGATACATTTTCGAAAAGATCTCAACGAGACGGTTCCAACGCCGCCGTTTTCGGCGCTGTGAGTCTTCCTGCTGTTGAGAAATCGAGCTTTGAAAAACGGTCAAGGGGGTGTGTTATCTTGTGTCATATACGGTATGGCGCATGTTTGTATCGAAAGACTCTCCGCAACCCCAACCCGTTGTACATATGCCTATGCTGCCTGCATCGTCCGTGCTGTAGCAGCAACCTGCCCGTACGACTCTGTTGGTGTATTAACCGGTCTCTAAATGACGTTGGGCACGGGGAGGATCATGGCCGCTCCCCCCCTCCCCCCGTTTAAGAAATACCCGGGTATTTGCAGCTGGGCGATCTTTGGACTCTGTCGGATACAATCACCCTCACTTACGGCTGACGAAGTGATACCGCTAACGGCGGGGGAGCGGCTCCGAGATCCGGCTGTGGCCGATGCATCATTCGGGTGCTACGGCAGCTGCTGATGTTTGGGGAAGGCCAACGTTGGATGCAAACGTTGCCACAATCACCGCAAGGGGTAACCCCGCGGCACGGCACCAAACCCCGTGTTCAGAACCGGGGTGGAGAGGCCCAATGGCAGCTGGCGGTATACATCTTGTCTCGTCGGTCGGTATCTGTGGGCCAAGCTACATAAGCTGGAGATATCGCGCTTCTCCGGCGAAGACAACCTGGATCTGTTCGAGAAACGCCCCGACCTGGAGGAGCTGGTGCCCCCTGCGTCGTCACGCTGTGTGGCTAGCACCCGGTCGCTCGTGGGTGGTATGGCCGCACGGGGCGCTGGGTCGTTTAGAGCCGAGAGCGGAACGAGGAGATGCTCGCAAAACACGGAAGCCCAAAATAAATAACGGTTTCCTGCCCTTTCCGCTTGGCGCATATAGAGAGCAGTACCGCCATGTGCCATCCAGGAGCGTGGGTGTAGCGGTACTCGCCCCACCGCAGCGGTTGCGCTGTGTGACCAAGCGTCGGCGATGCGGGCGCGAACCAGCTCGTCGAGGTATTCTCTCGAACACATCGATGTCGTCGTCTCGCCGGAAAGGAGCGCAACACATACCTCCAGCTTGGTCCACAGACCTAAGGCCCACCATCCGACCTTCCCACGGCTATGTAGTTTCGGCCACAACGTGCCGCCAGCCGCCGTCGCGCCTCTACCCCGGCCCTGCCCTGAACACGGGCTGTTGCTGCCTGCCGCGCCGCAGGGTGTTACCCCTGCGATGTGATTGTTGCGATAATGCCTACATCGAAGGATGTTCTGCCCCTACACCAGCCGCTCCCGCAGCCGCGGCACGCGAAACAGGTTCCACGGCAGCAGGCACAGCCAGCCGTGCTAGGAACGGGGGCCGTGCCGGCGGCCGGCGGGGGCAAGGCGTCGCCCTCGTCGCCCCAATCACCAGAAGCGACCGATCGATCGCGAGCCGCTCCTCCGTCGTTTGCAACATGTTTGCTCCGTTACGTATGCATAGCCACAGCTTGTTGACGATTGTCTCCAAGACGAGTGGCACCTCACCCCTGGGGATGGCAAAGACCGCCCAGCGTAGGTTTCTTCTGCAGGAGTTCTAGTCCTTTTGGCTGCAGCGATACTCGACTTGGTCTTGCTTGCCAGCAAGTACTGCAGCATGGGTACGAGCCCCCCTTTCACATATGAAAGTGTAGCTGTAGCTGTTGTTGGTGTTCAGGAGAGATGCAGCCTTGAAACCCTACTTCCGACTCTTGTCATTTTCTCCGATGTACTGCTGTGGGAGAAGAAAGCTTTCTCGCCGTTTCGCAAGAAGAAGAGTTTCCAGGAACGGCCTGCTACCTGGCAACAAGCCAAGATCTCTGAGCACACCTCTGCCTTCTCTTCTGCGTACGTTGCACACCGAGTACGTGTTTACCCCCATCTGTTGGGGACGCACTTATTCGGATTGTGAGGACGACCACGCAAAGAAAAACCACACAAAATGTACTTGTTAATATCAAGATGTTTGCATTCTAGATTAATGCGATCAAGCCGTTGACTTCACCTGCCGATTGCGACGGGGAAGTGGAGGGACATCGCGGGATTTTGAGCTTTCAATACTTGTACCGACCGCGAAAGCCGACTGACCGATGAGCAGACATCAAGTATGTTAGAGCCAGAGGTAGGGAAAGAGAAAGCGATTAGCTTGGGAGGAGAGACATCGTCGTACGGGCAACTCGCTATTTCATCTGAACTCGCAGCACAGATAGGACTAGCCGTATACTGCTAATCGATGATACTGCTCAATCAACTACGCTGACCTGTTCGAAAACGTTTGCCGTTCGCACCCGCCTGTTTGGCCGTGCATGTTCAACTCTGCAAAACTATTTTGTCCGGTTGTCCGCGCTGTCACCCACACCCAGAGCTTCAGAATGGGAATGGATCACCTCAAGGTATGACGCTTGGTTCATGGAAACCTTGAAAGGGGGACGCATGAATCCTCCGATCGTTCGAAATCGCGCATGCCCTACAAAGGTGTAGTTTTTCCAGCAACGAACGTACGGGTCGTCATCGTTGACAATTTTTTTGCATACACGATCCCCTCGGGGATCGTGTTAGACGTGTCTCGTAAATCGAACAAAACTTGGTTCCCAAAGCTTGTAACTCTGCCGGGAATCTAAAGGGAAACGAGGTTGGCGTATGTAGCATTTGCCGGGAAGTGCGTGTCTATGGCTCGTTCTCGTGCGTCCGTGTTGCGACACTTCCGGTAGGGACAACAGCTGTTGTTTGACCGAGTCAGACGCTCTCCTAGTCGTAGTGTCAGCGGAGAACAGCGCAAGGACGGCTCTCGAATAGACCCATGCACCGGTCTTTGCAAGGAAATATGTCTACTATTGTCGCTGTTGGTGTTGGTTTTGTTGTTGGTGGTGTTGGGGGTATTGCTGTGGCCTGCATATAGTTGTCGTTGTTATGTGCCGCTGCTGCTGCTGCTGCTGCTGCTGCTGCTGCTGCTGTTCCTTATGTTGGTGTTCTTGTTGGTGGTGATAGTGTGATAGTGACGTTGACAGCGACCGCAGCGAATTTTGGTCAGCGCTCGACGCAGCTTTTAGAACCGCCGCGTCGTGCTCTTCTTGTGGCTTCTCCCATCACCAAAAGGGGAGGCAAAGAGGGATGATGGCATGAAAACATGACCCAAGAGACCAGACAACACGTTTGCCGCCGCCGATTGGGGCCCAGTTGCTTTGGCGGCCATTATCCGACGTGCTCCGTCCCCACCTAGGGGTATGCAGAGATCATGACGTAGTAGTTCGACCCGGGAGACGTTGATTGACCGCACAACAAACGGCGACGACAGCAAAGGCTGCTGTTGATGATAAAGAATAACCTACCGACGATGACAACCATATAACCGCACCGCCAACATACGCTTGGAAGAACGATTACATTGCGTCTACAACGCCTTCGTCGCCGTCCCTGAAAAAATTAGATTGGTTCGGATGCCCCAGCTTTCTCAGTGAAAGACCAGGACGGTGCCGAGGTCACCTTGGCGTCGTTCAAGGGCCAGAAGAACGTCATCGTGTACTTTTATCCGAAGGACGCCACGGTAAGTGAAATCATGAACACCCGTACGCTTGGTTTTTCGGTTGTGTTGTTATGCCGAAAGCAACGACTGTCTGGGGGATCCGGTACTCTCGTTGTTGTTGTTGTTGTTGTTGTTGTTGTTGTTGTTGTCGTGCAGTATTGGTGAGCGGCAGTAGTGTCGATTGCAGTTGTCCGCCGACCGATTCGAAGCAATTGCTATGTAGATGGGTGGTTCTGCTAGCACTGCACTTTCCCCTCTTGTTGGCGGCTTTATCTGTCTTTCCTGTTTATAGTAGGACTCACCGCACGTGCCAGAGTGTCCGTGACGCCACCGTTTTCACTGTCAGACAGGGCGCCCTTCCGAGCCCTTCTCGTTCGATAACGTTGGATAGATGAGTTCAAAAACAACAGAAATTCCATAAGTTCCTGATGAAACCGACGAAGTCAATGCTTCAAGCTGCGTAACATTGTGGTAGGTCGGCATGCGTTCTTTTCGGAAGAATTATGTGAACCGTGAGAAACAACCAATGCAAGCCCCGCCCCCCCCCCCCCCTGTTTACGGCGTTCTCTGGATTGGCCTCGCGGTGTTTGTTGGAACCCCCCTTCATTTCCTTGGCCTACTACGTAAAGCCTGGTTGCACCAAGGAGGCTTGCACGTGAGTCGTAGGTGTTCTCCGCACAACAGCGTGTCTTCCTCTCGCAAGGTGTTGGTATTGCGGTGTTGTTCGGTTTCGTACTACTGTGGTCGAGGTCCAGCGTGCTTGTTATTTAGCGTGGGGCATGTACGCATGCTACATAATCACGTTGTTGTGTATTTTGTGTGTGTTGTTGTTGTTACCTAAGTTGTTGCTGACGCCGTATCGTTGTCGTTGCCGTCGGTATTGCTACTTCTCTTAGCCCGTTTAGGTTGCTCTTGCCCTTCCGCCTTCCGTTACCACCGTTCCTGTGTTCTGAAAGACGAAAGCGGGCGGCCGTGTGTTTGGCAACCTAGGCAACACAAATGTTCGAGAGAAGCCCGCGGAACCCGTTTCATGAGGCTAGCTGCTTGCATGCCTGTCCCTTTTCATGAGGCCTTGGCATGATTTACCCTTTACTGTGCCCACACGTTTCTCGGGACACAGACGGCGGCAAAGCCTTGCCCTATACTGCTGTGCTCACACTTTTTTCAGGACACAGACGGCGGCACAGCCGATTAGGACCCCGCGTTCAGTACGTCAGTTGAGCATGTAGTTTTTGTTTTTCAGACTCAAGACGAATAATTAACCTTAGGTGGGTCTGTTGGTTGGCCTCCCCGCAACGTTAGCCGTGCGCATGCCTCTACCCTGGACCTCAGGAGGAAACTTCACACTGCCCAGCCACAATCTCCGCCACTCCCGCCGGACTATAATCAGTTTTTCCGCTTTCCCTCCTACCATCAGGTTTCGGGACCTGCAGAGCGACTACGACGCCTTGGACTGCGTCGTTCTGGGAGTTTCGGCCGACAGCGAGGCCAGCCACCAGGACTTCATTGCGGACCTGGGCCTCAACTTCAGCCTTCTGGCAGACACCGACAGGTCAGTGGGCGTTGGTGGAGGGTTGACTATTGGTATGTTGTCGTGGTCGACATTTTACATTCATCTCTTGCTTGGGACATTTCCGTGAAAGGTAAGAGAGGCTGAACAATTGTGTGTGTGTGTGTGTGTGTGTGTTAATTTTTGGCAAACAGCCGGCGTGACGCACATGTGGAAACGAAAAGGTGTACTTCGTTGAAACAACCGCGCTAAACTGGCCGACAGTGCGTCAGTCTCAGTGCGTCTTTAAACGGAAAACGCGTCTTAAGGGCACGATCTGGGGGCCCGTGTGTGTGTGCCTGTGTGGAGTAGATGACCCAACGAAGGGACGCTTCTGTTTAATTCTTTGTAAACCTTCGTCAAATCAACGTAAGACCGTTTTGTTTGTCTTAACCCTTAAAAGGGGCAGGGCCTTTTCACCTTTTTCTTAGCGCCGGCAATGTACCGCGCTAGATCTTTCCCCTCCATTTTGTTTTTTTCGATTCTCTCTCCGTAGGGTGGTATGTGTTCATGTTAGCTATCGCCAGGTCACAAAAATATTTTTCGAACTCGGCATGCTATCAGCGAATGGGAAGTTGGCGACGACCTTTTATGTGCCCCCTTAATTGGGCCATGTCTCTGTACTCATACAGTAGCACTCTCGTTCGTAGAGTGTTTACTTCCATCGGTCCTCAAATCTCAACAAAGCCTAGACAGAGCATGCTGGGGCTTCGGTCGACCAAGTAGGCGGTGGTACGGGCGCGGTGAGGGCATGAACTTGTTTTGTTCAGGTCTCTATCACTGAAGCACAAGATACAAGCCAAGTTTGAAGGGCTTCATCGTCCTGCGGACATTATTTAGTTGATGGGTGCCCTCTTTTGCACCCAGTCTTGGGACTGACCGGAGCCACGGTGGCCGGCTGGCTTAAAGGAAGGGCGCGGGGGCGGCGGAAGAGTTGTGCCTAGTTTGCTTCCGATCCACAAAGGGCGTATAATAGTAGCGTTTTCGCGGTGTTAGCGATGCTCGCTTCTTTTTGTCTTAACGCATCTGTTTCTCTGTGAAGAAGAACGAGAAATACTGTCTGGCGGGGATTGTTTGTACATACATACAGTATATGTTCGCCCTCCAGACACACACATAAATATATACACATAGTCTTTTTCCAACTTCCCCCCCGGGAAAAGAAAAAAGAAAGGGCTTCAGTTTACAGCAAAACACAAAACTTGCTTGAACAACAGATCCCTGATAAACGCCTACGGCGCGATGAAGGCCGAGGACGAAAGCAAGATCCAGAGGAGCACGGTGGTGATCGACAAGGAAGGCAAAGTGGCGGCAGTATGGAATCCGGTAAGAAAGATGCCGCCGCTAACCCTGTACGGTGGCATACGACAGCTGAACTATTAGATATATCCGTACCTTAGATACCAGGTGTATCCGTCGTTATTTAGATACTTAGCTCTTGAGACATTCATGCGTACCATTTCTCACTGAACCCGCACCATGCCATTAAATCGCTTGTGCCGCGTCCCGCCGCGCTTTACGTTTCGATCGACGGGTTCTTGTGTTCGTTGCCCCCCGGATTGGAAGAAGAAGAGATTTCGCTAACCACACGCCCTTTTCGACATACTCAATCGTTTAGCTGCCCACCATACCGCAGTCTGCTTTGGGTTGGCACGAGGGGGGGGGGTCGTCACACGCGATAAAGAGAAGCACGGCCCGGGGTTCGATTCTTGTTTGCTTGAGGGGGGCTTGTCATGAGCAAGAAGAGCTCCGCGGGTGAACTTCCGCAGGGCGTGTCAAAAGAACCTGCTGTGATACCACAGATGATCTGCACCGAAAACAAAAAAAAATGATGTTGTCGTGATTGTTTTAGAAGACACGCTTGCAGGATTCGTTATCGGTTGAAGACACCGAGCTTGTAAGCCGCAAGCGGGTCTCGATGGCAACATGCCATAGAGAGAAGAAAGAAGACGTTCCTCCCGGGCTACCTTAAACGTTTACTACCTCAAAACTCCGACATTCATGGCGCGCCAGTTGCCTACAGGCAGCATCGCTCCGCGCGCTGCATAGCACAGCAATATGTTGCACCGTCCTTGTCTCTGTATTCCGTGCTTTGCTCTATTGTACTCATTTCTTAGTCGTCACGCCCGACCACTGCTTACCCAAAGCCGCACCTGACCCACTACTACGTGGCTATGTGGTGACACTCGGCTCTTGATAGTCGTTTTCTTTTTCGTATTTTTTGGGGCAGGTGACGGCGGCAGAGGAGCACCCTGTGGAGGTCCTGGAGAAGATTAAGGGCATGTAGACTAGCTCTCTCTGTTGGCAGGGAAGCAGTTTCACCGCGTATGTAACCTACCGAGAAGCAAGCAGAGGGCATTCGGTGGATGAGTGCGTACTATGTTTCAAGGGTTTTTACTATGTCGTGAACCTGGTCGGTTACATGGGAGAGGGTGTGTGTGAGTGCGTGTCTTTTACTTTTTCTTGGTGGAACATTTTTTCCCACCACACGAAAAGTGGAGATACCCAGCGTACAATTGGATCAAAGATTTTTTAGGTGTGACGGGGTTCCTTGGTTCTGAACCGCCACAATATTATGTTGACGAGGACCGGCTGATTGTTATTGTTGTTGGCCGGGGGCGGCGGGGTACCGTTGGCCGGCTCGCTAATCAAAGGTTGCTATGTACTACTTGAATAGCTGTTTATTTAAAACTGCATGGATGGGCGCGCTGCGAACTGACCGAGGGAAACGTCCCAGTGTTCATTACTCACGGCCCTCCCCCCGCCCGTTGTGCTGGAGAAGGGAGAGAGTTATGTCGAACGACGTGTTGCTAAGTGCATCCTCCCGGCACTCCGCCTTTCTGTGTTGTGCGGCCCTCCTACCCACTAACAATGAGGTCGCGCGGGGGGTCTTTTTTTTGGCTCATTTTGTGGCCACGCTACGGTACATGACAATACAATAAGAAAAGCGGAAGGCGTTTCAATCCTCCGCTAACAACTCTGTCGCAGTATCGTTGTCAATTGTCCACACACTGTGGAGACATCCTTTTTTATCATCCAAACCCTATTTGAATAGTAGTTTTGCCCTGTGACCACGGAAGGCATCATCCGCGTTGTTGTCAGTCAGTGGGACCGGTATGGATGGATACTTATTTGAAGGTACTGAGCAGAGAGAGACCGGAGTGTATTCTAAACAATGTGAAGACAACATCAATAACAACAGCCGGGAGAAAGAAATAAGACTGACAAGTCAAAACAAAATTTGAGTAAAGAAAGTGAAGCTCCCACGCGGCACTCCAACCAACCATCAAAGGGCCTCGAAAGGAGCACGCCTGGTTGGGGGCGGGGAGGGACTCACTACAATGCTCCATGTTGATTTTTTGCGAATATTTTTTTCTTCGTGCTTTCTCCTTTTTCTCCAGGTGTTTTCGCAGGCAAGAGGAGTCATCACACATAATGTGTCCGTGATAACCATTGTTTCAGGATTGTTAGCACTGTAGACTGTAGACTGCGCCACCAGCTCTGGGCGTGTACCGTATATCGAAGAACGACAAAAAAGAAAAAAAGGGAAAAACTTAAGCTCCCACGCGGAGTTGAACCACGGACCTTGTGCTTACTAAGCACACGCTCTAACCAACTGAGCTATGAGAGCTGTTGATGTGTGGGTGCGTCCCGTTGGGTATATAAATTCTACGGGGACCTCACATGTAGACGCCACCAAACCCCATCTTGGCTAGACACAACAAATTCATCTCTTCGACAGAAAAGAGTCCACGGTGCGATGCACCTAGGTAATGTGTAGAAAAATTATCTTGCTACGCCGATCATTCACCTTGTAGCTGGTGCAGGTCCACCCCCCCCCCCCCTCCCTTAGCAGCATTTTTTTTTTCGATGATAAATCCCCCCGCACCGGTGAAAGCCAACCTGCTGCCTCATCATGTCAACCTGCCTCGTTGCCCTGTCGTACACACCTCCTATACATGCTTATGCTGTACCTTGGATGGCGCTAAGGCTTTGAGTGCTTCACCATGAGAAACGGGGCTCTGTTGGCTGTTGCAGGTGCCGCCGTACTGATCAATGCGTTCTGCTCCAGCGGCGTGATACGCTGCGACGCCCTTGTCTTGCGCGGAGGCATCAAGCGGCGTGATAGCACCATCAGACGAGTGAGAGGTGGGGTGTCAGACCTCCGAGCTGCTTGGATCGATGAACAGGTGACTTGCTTATCCACATATAGACCAGTGTGTGGGGGTGCGTGAGGCCAAGCAGGGAAATTAATACCGGTACACCGTGTTTTGGTTGCGGAGTATGAAGAAAGCCGATGGTCATGTTTGTCATGTTGGATGTCGTCATCATGTCATCCCCACAGCGTGCGCCTCGATCAATCTCAGCACGCCCACAAGTGCTACAGCTATGCGTTGCGTTCCCTTGTCTTATGCTCAAGTAACCGTAGGAAAAAGTCGACCTTGACTCTGTAGATGCCTACCTACCACCGCCGGGCAAGTTCTATGAACTTCCGTAACGCTGCAAAAACGGGAAGAGATCCCAGGTTCTTCGACACGTAAATTTACCCACGCCTGCTTATTTACTGATGATGCAACCAAGCCAACGGCACCTACGGACCGGTATTTTTACTGTCGCCCGCGGTCCACTATATACTGCTGTAGTGTTGAAATGCACATCTGTGGGCGGCGCATCAACCGGGTTGAGGACGGAGTCCTGGCTGGAGGAACGAAGCCAGACTGATCCATTCAACAAACACATCTACAATATGCATAGTAGTCTAGTCCTACAGCAGCATGTCTCGTGGGCATCTTGGTTTGCCTGTGGGTCTCCCTTGCCGCTTGGTAGCGTGACGAAGGCAACACTTGAAGGGCCACGGCGGTAGCCGCTCTTTTCAACAATGAACCGCAGGGAGCCTTCCGCGCAATGCCCCAAAAGACGACATGCTGCTGGAGGCGACGTCGCTTGACTGACCCTGTTCTTGCTCCCCCGCGCGGGGTGCGGTTGCTCCTTCGGGTACGTGTGTCTTGCTCTGTGGCGACAAGGTCTCGCTCGAGGTGCCAGCGTCCACCCAGGACGCGTACTCCCTGTATTCGGATCTCCAGAGGCAGCCGGAGTGGTCTCCCTGGCTCAAAAGTGTCCAGGTAGCAGCAGTGCATGGATAGATACGACAGTGCTTACCGTACATTTCGTTTGTTTCCTTCAAGGGGCCGGTGCGTGCGCGATTCGTCTGAGCTAACCGTTCGAGGTCGAACCTACTACTATTGTGACACAAGAATGCCAAAAGGCGGTGTAGATTCACCTGCTGGCTTCTTTCGGCCCAGTGAGTGCGTGAGAAACCGTGTAGGTTCAGCGTCCGAGACAGTTGTAAAGACGGCGATACAGCGGCCAAGAGGAAGCAATCGTTATCTGCGTACCTGAGAGTGCAAGTGTCCAGGCTGAGACGAAGTCGGCCAGGGTAACCATGGAGGAGCTGAGTTTGTTAAGCAAATAGTGTCACCGCGTGGAAACTGTTAATTAGTTGAAGACTGGACAGGACCCTGCCCTTTTGACCGAACCTGCGCAAATAATCCCCTCTTTTGGCGGTCGGCATCGTCCCCAGCAACGAACGAAGGTTTTCACGGCATACCCTTCATTCCCTCCTTCCTGTTTCTGTGTTCCACCGGTGCCTTGGCCTGCAATTTTGTTCCGGTTTGTTCTGGCTCTCTCTGTGCGTGTGTGCCCGTCTGGCTTTTGCTGTGGTCGCCTTCGGCACGACGTTAGTTTGGTGTTGACGCGGTGACCTCACGTACGTGGCTCCCAATCCACGTTCCGCTCTCTGCCCTGTGCCACCCCCCCCCGGTGCCCTTCTCAGTACCAGATCTTCATCGTCGACACCAAACGCCTCCCCTGCGAAATCTCCTTTCGCCAATGTTTTGTAAGCCGCATGGCTTCGCGAACACCAACCAGTATATACCTTAAGCAGCGTCTGCGTTCCTCGTTCCTCCTGTGTATATGCCGTCTGGCCACAGCATGACCGCGCAACCGGGACCTCGAAGTGGGTCATCCAATCCAACGGCATCAAGGTTTCCTGGAACGCCCAAAACACCGTGGAGGTACGCGCGTCGGCTTTTGGGGGGGGGCGGGAAAACCGGTCTATCATGGCCGTAGCTGTTTTGGTTGTTTAGGGACGGCCCGTGACGTCATCTCGACGATGCAAGCCTTGAAAAGCCGGAGTGGGTGCCTCTACTTCAAGGAGCCAGAGACGAGATTCAGGATGATGTCTACCGCTTGACACATAGATGATATCTGCCACCAGGACGTCGGTGGCACGAGGGCATATCAAATTGCCCCGACGTTGACGACCAACGCTACGACGCTTGAATGACTTCTTCTCTGCTCGCACGCGATAGGTGTACGGGTCGGAGGTGGCGTGGGAGAGCACGACGGGCCTCAGCAACCGGGGTCGAGTGACGTTCGACGACAAGGGGGGCGAGCGATGCCTCATGACGCTGACGCTGTCGTACAACCTGCCGTACGTAAGTCGTCGCCGTTCCCGACAACTCAGCCTGCAGCCACCTGTGTACAGGCCGAATGACTCTGTTTCGGCGAAGGATCGCCGTCTTGTTGTTCCGACTTGTGTTGCTACTGCTGTGAGGTGTGCCGTGAACACCTCTATGGCCGTGCCCCTACTACGTAGTCTTGAAGAAGCAGCCGGGGGGCTTGAGAGTGTCTTTCAAGCACACGAGTGCATGGTGCGGCCTATGCCGGTCGCTGTTGTCACGGGGTGGGTTCGGGTGCGGAGTCTCGAGCATGGCTACAATACTGACCATGTGTATATATCGTGATTTTGTTGGGTTCCGCATCTCACTGCTGTAGGTGACTGTTAGGACCGGCCACCTTGTTTGTGAGGGTGGGATTCTTACCTGTTGGACGAGGTGTTTCTTTGCTCTACGGGTTTTGTGTGCTTTGGTCCGAACGGCTATAGCTTCGTCTAGTCGAGATGTCGCACGCGGCTGTGGCCATGCCGTTTGCTCTTTGGGGTACGTCCATCAGATACTCTGGATCGACACACTCGCAAGCTATGTGTCTGTCTTCTTCTTGAGTCTCCGTGTCTATTGCTGTTGTCACTTTGCGCGGCGTGCCCACCCATCTACCGACGTTGCAGGTGATAGCGTCCGTGCTGCGGTTGGAGGCCGTCGAAAGGTTCGTCAAGCGGACCATCCTCAGGTAAACACAACAGCAGCAGCAGCAGCAGAGACAATGACAAGCGTAAAGAAAGGAAGGGCCTGGCGCTTTCGTGTATTTCCCATTTGCACCCCCAACACTCGAAAGATGCGCGGGGCATTTGCCACCCTGGTTTGCTCATTACCGCAGGATTTTGCCCCCCCCCCCCCCCTGTCTGTGTGTATGTTTAGTGACTTAAGGCTCGTTAAGCACTGAAAATGGCAACTAGTGTTGCTCTAGGCGGCGGCTACAGGACGTTCGCTTCAAGCTACGAGAACTACATTATTTTGGTAAAAAAAGAACGCCTTTAAGGAGGTCACAGAGACGCTGAAGAATGACTCGTGTGTACAGTAGCAGACATTTCCTGTATTAGCGAGCACCTGGATGTTTTATCCGTGTTGCTTGCGAGGGAGTGAAGCAGCACTCCATCTCCAATGCACGCGGTGTGGAACAATGGTCAAACGAACCTTCGGGGTAGACACCTGGGAAGAACCCCCATCCTTTACACCCGCCTGCCGCCTTTTCTCCTGTTCGTCTCATCACGGTGGCGCGGCTTCTGTCACTACACGGCTGCGTCTGCACCCACTCACCATTGGCCGCCTTCCTTCTCGGCCGGACAAAAACCGCGACGGATACATACGAACGCGTCGGTGCAAACAGCGACCTTGCGCGGTTCAAGAAGGTGCTGATTCGACAGCTGGAGACGGCGCCTGCCTCTCCTAAATTTAGCACCGCTCCCAAGGAATCGGTCCACGGCACCCCTGGTGCTGGTGCTGGTGCTACTGCTGCTGCCGCTGCTTCAACTGTCGCCGGTGCTGCCACTTCCAGCGCTGCGCCTGCAGCTGCTCCTGCACCTACTCCTCCTGCGGTGGCTGCTCCTACGACGACCCCTGCTTCGTCTGCCGCTGTCACCACCACCACCACCACTGCTGCTGCTGCTGCTGCTGCCGCTGTTGCTACTGCTGACGACGCTGCTGGTGCTCCGAGCGTAGCCGCCGGCGCGGATGGCGTGGAATCAGAGGGCGAGGCCAAGGACAGTACTCGCGCTCCTGGGCGACGATCGCGATGGAGACGGAGATTTCGGAGATTGCTGCGGCGAGACCGGGGCCGAGAAGCTGCCGCGCCTTCGGCGGTGGCGGCGGGGGTAGAACATGACGGATCGTAAGGACAAACGGAGACGTGGGAATGAAACTTGTAGGACCTCGGGGTTTCGTGGCGCCGTTTTTGCCGGCAATCATGTTAACAGTAAGTACAGTGAACGGGTAGTCTTTCTATGCTTTCTGTGCTATGTATATTTTCGAAAAAAATATCATGCAAGCAAGCGAGTGAATCGATCGTTTTTTTGTAGTATAAATTTTGCTCATCTATAAACTTTGCTCATCTATGGTCATAGGCAGCTGGTCTTAATTGGGCCTGCGCGTTTGTTTCTTGCTGAAACAACGATGGGGGTTGGACACATGCACACACCTTTTTCCGGCTCGCGGCTTGATGGTGTTTTCCCGCGTTGCTGCCGAGCTGCTGCAGCCCTTTTGCATGTCTTTTGTCGTTCTTCGACCAGAGACCGGTGAGTTACATGCATGCATGCCTGTTGCTTGGAAACCCGAGGACGAGACGAAAAGCTCGATCAATGGGCAGAGCCGTTCACTGCACCCACCCGCGGCGTGATGGCACCCAGTGGGTCGCGGCATTGCGTCGCATCCACGGCCTTTTGACAGTCGTTCCCGCCACAGGGGGAGAAAACGAGAAACGCTCCCTATAGGATTTCAGCTGAATGCCACGAAAGTTATGATCGTTTCCGTCGGCATCGGCAAAATCGTGTTTGCGATTAGATATGCCTGCCAGAATCTATGTTAGCATCCGTTCTCCGGGGGGGTGAGTGTTTTTTTGCCCCAATCTGATAAGCCCACCCCTCCCGCTTTTCTAAACAAAACAACACGATTTTTTGTTGATAGAATCGACGTTAAAAACGACCGTTCAGCGGGGGCTAATTTCTTGCTGCTGTCTTGCCATCCCTACATTACCACGGGCTCCAAAGGCGCAGGCAGCACAGAACGCAAAGCCCTGTTGTCACTTTCTTGCGAACAAGTGTTGAAATCTCCACCCTTCTCATCTGAACTATTTACACACAAAAATACATACTGCTGGGCATTTCCCCTACCCAATGTCAGCAACTACCACCGTACGCCACCAAAAAAACTGGGAGTCGCGCCAAGTGCTCACCAGCGTAAGAGAAGAGTGATTTTGTCTGAAAAAACAAAAAACGAAGACATAATCCGACAGAGCTACGCGAGGAAAACAAGCAAGTGTCTTCAAAATTCCTCGATTCTTTTTTCAATTTTTCTGTTCGTCCTCCTTCGGACCGGACGAATGAGACCTTCGCGCGCTCATCGCATTCCACCCGACAGTGATGCATACGAGCTAGCTACTGCTGTGCTGGCGCCCGCTCCCCTTGGTCCACCTTCCGCTGAGCGGGAGAGACACAAATAGACTTGTTGTTCTTGACATGAAACGTTCCGGTCTCCACTCAGTACCTTCTAGGGTCCGTACTCGTCCAACTGCATAGGACGCCTTCCGTGGTCACAAGCCAGCTACCTGAAGACGAGACATGTGATGGGTACTCTAAATTCAAGTATGCACCCGAAAAATACTGATCTGTCAGAGCTCCAGAGATCCTGGAAAATGCAAAACTTCCGTGGTCACAAGCCAGCTACACCTGAAGACGAGACACTGGAGTACTCCAAATTCAAGTGTACACTCGAATAGTACTGATTGGTCAGAGCTCGCGAGATAGAAGATGCAAACTCTACCCGAGAGCCCGAGAGAAACAATCCCAACGCCAATTAATTATCGTTCATCTTAAGGACTCGTTTCACACCCAGCATGGAGGCGTACAGTACGCCGCCAAACCCCTGAAGCAAGTATCTCTACTGCTTGCTTGCTGCCTCTCTTTCCATGTCGATGCTACAGTATATCCTTCACCTTGTTTTTTTTATGGAGTTCTTCACCGGAAAGAAGTACAGCGACAACGGCATCAAGCGAAAGCCCAAAATACACACAAAAACACGCGCGTTCTAGGAAACAAGAGCTAACTAGTAAGGGGGCCTACAGACCCAACACCCGACCACACTACAATACATGCTGCGTTTACGCGGTCGTGGGATAAGGGCAGCAGCAGCTGAAAAAATGAGGTCGATAACTTTTATCTTGAACGCACTGCCACAGTCGCAGCATTTGCGACCTCAACACACACCAGCACCCTGTGAAGTGTAATTCGAGCCTGTGTTTTGCGTACATTCTGACTTTGTTTTTTTCCGCCGGTTTTGAATTGAAGATGAACTTGCATATTCACTGCAACTCTGCACAACCGCCATCAGGCAGACCGACCCTTCATTCATGAACTATGTACCCTTCGTGGCACTTCGCAGGCCGCTCCTCCCTCCCACTGCTGTCGTCATGTTGCATATTTCTACACTCAACTAAATAAAGGTAAAGGGTGCATGGCGAACAAAAAGGACTACCGGGGGGAGGGGGCAGAGGGGCAAACAATGCATCTTCCTACGCATACCATCACGCCCAACTGATTATTTCTAGTTTCCACCCGAAAGTATGTGGAATAGTAGGGTTGACACATCAGACCTATTCGCGCCAAAGGAAGAAAAAGGGATCTCAATACCCCACCACAGACAGACTCAGAGAGACGGCGATCGAATGATCCACTACCATAACTTTCTGAAGGACAAAAACGGACGGTGGCATGCAAGACACAGGGCAGCCCACGGGAAATGAGGGGTTCTAGCGGTTTTTTCCTTGCCATCACTGATATATATACTACCATTGGCCAGCAGACCAGCGCGATCAATGCTATGTATTTTCCAACATAGAAAACACACACATACACTCCAAGATCATGGCACTTAGAAGCATTTCCTGTTTTTCAACAACCGCACTGAGACTCACGTCTTTTCATTTGCCAGCCGATTAGCGCGGTCGACGCTAATAACAAAGACACACACACCACACACACACGCACGCAAGATGCATTGGTCGTGCCATCCCCATTCAGAAACAACAACACAACTCACGAAGAAATGAAAGCAAACGCAGATTTGCTCAGAGAAAAAGGTCGCGCTAAGCTCTGAGGCTCACTGAGTGCGACGATCGAGTGCCCACCGGGGATGTAGCTGCCGCCGCTTCGGATATGGCACAATCATGAAACAAACAAACCAAGCACCGTAAGCACTACCTACTGCTGTAGGCCCGGATTCACCTGACAACACCAAGGTCAACAACAGCAACAACCTCCTAGAGACGCGACAAAATCAACCGCGTTTGAACCGTTTCGAGCACCGCAGGCAGCCGTCGCGACTCGGATCCCCCTGTATATCCCCAAGAAGATCCCCCTGTGTATATCCTCACGAAGGGGGGTCTTCTGATGACGATGCGGCCGTGCTCAGAGGCACATCTCCCGCGCCGCCAGCTACGGCTCCACCGCCATCTCCGCCAGCGGTACGGCTGGCAGCGGTAGGCACCGTTGGAGGTGCGGCCGCGGCCGCGGCCTGGTTCCTGTAGACGCCAGCCCCGCTGAACTCGCCGCCGCTGTTGCACCACACGTTCATGTCTGCGCGACAGTAGGGGCAGTCCACGTGGTCCCGCATCCAGATATCGATACACTATTTTTTTTTCGTGTAGAGGAAAAGGATCGAGACGAGAGAAAAGGAGGGGGGGTGGGTGGGTGAGGGGTATTGCTTGTTTGTTGGACATCCACTTGGTCTTGTGAACAATTGTGTAGATCCATCAAGCGCAAGAACAGACGCAGACAAAGCATGCATTTGTAGCATGGTGAATTTTTACAGAACAACCCTTAACCTTGTCCTGCATCTGTTCGCGACGGAACAAGAAGGGGTTGGGCGCCCTCAAGAGCCACAGGGACGAGTGGCGAGAAAAAGCTTGCCAGCGAACCAACCAAGTCGAGTCTAAATCGCGGAACAGTCAAACATAGATGATGCACCCGCAGCACATGCTGAGCACATCAAGCGCCGGGGCCGGGCATACAAACGTCCCCTCGAACTGCCGCTAAACTACCACAAAAAAAAGCAACACGTAACCTCACCCCGTTGCTGGCAACCAACCCCCCGTCGAGCTTCCTCCCCGCTAGACACGGAGCATGCGAGGATCTCCAAAGTGCCTTACGGAGTACCACATACAGCCATGAGTTTTACTCCCCATCCCCTTACCTACAGACAATCGTGGCTGATGATGTCCACGCCGCCCCGCTACGCTAAAAAACAATCGGGCTTACAGACCGTACAGCCAGCCATGAGTAAACTCCTCATGTCGCAATCTACACGCGTCAGTGGCGTTCGGTGCTGTTCCGCGATGTCCTGCAAGCCGGCTTACGGGAGAGCCATGAGGCTAATCATCATGCCCCTATCCTGCAGCGGTTGTTGAGGCTGAAAGTATCGCCGTCACTCCCTCAGGGCATACAAGTGCGCGAGAGAAAACGTCTCATCCCCTCCCAGACGCGTTTGTGGCTTGAGTTGTTCCCTCCCGCTGGCATCACTGGCTTCTCAGAACCGTAAGGACTTGGTAAAAAACAAACAAGCTCCAACAAGCTTCATCAGGTTTCACTCGTCTCCCCCCCAACTGCTGTAAAGACTTGCTATACACACATCTCGTCTGAGAATTATCAGGCGCGGGTACCGCAGCACTTTTTTTTGTGTACATTTTTCTTGATAAATATAACACAAAAAATCCATCTCTATCCATAGACGAGGGTCTAGGATTGGCAATTGATTCATAGCGTCAGCGGAGAACTAATATCTACCTGCCTTTTTCTGTGCCCTATTACAAAAAAAGTTTTCGGTAAAAAAAAAGAAAAAAGTGTGAGCCCCGGGGGCTCCGCAACTGACCTCAGTGTGGTACAGGTGCCCGCACGGCAGGAGCGTTACCGCCTCGTCCACGAAGTACCCGAACAGGCACACCGAGCAGGACGCGTTCAGCTCGGACGCGCGGATCACCTGCCGCCCGTCGCGCTCCAAATATGCCGGCGGCGGCAGCGGCGGTGGCGGCGGCTGCCCCAGCTCCGCCGCATCAGGGTTGTTGCTGTTGCTGCTGACGCCTTCGTTGGCGCTGCCGCTGACTCCTGACGGCTTCGCCGCCGATGGGGGGCTCTGGCCTTGCCGTCGTCGCTGCTCTTCTCTTCGAGTTATCAGAGTCTCTTCGGTGTCGTTCGCGCCATCGCCATCGCCCCCCTGTGTGACGATGACGATGACGATGTTGGTCGTTTTCGGAGCGTGTAATGCAGGCCAGAGAGGCGTCGGAAAAGCGGAAAGTCGAGAGCGGCCGTGCAGGGAAAATACTGTCCGCTCTGTACGGCCGTGGCATGCACGCTAGGGCTTGTCGTCGCAGCAGCCCTGTAAGAACTAAGGTTGTCCGGCTACGTCAGAGCCAGCAGGCCCTTTTAGGAGTCCCGTAAATCTTCAACCTCTAAACGAAATATTTTCTCCTAAAGACATCTTCAGGCGAAAGGAATATTGAACAGGCTGCTTCCCACGGCCATGTGTACCTTGGCACAAGTGTTGGGACGGAGGCGTCAAGGGCATCATGCGACCATGGACATGCACTTTGCATGGACATGCGCGTGTAGGTTGTGTACATGCGGTGGGTGGCAACGGATGCCTCCAACTCTTGCCGCATACCACTCCCGGAATGTTTTAAACGCACACCTGACCGATTGACGAGTCGTCACTTCCACTTCCCCCCCGGTCCCAGGGCCATCTGCCGCGTCGCCTGCGGTCCAATTGAAACAAAAAATAAAAAAGTGAAGGAAGCGAACTAATCAAGAGGATTCATCTTGTCTACACACACGCATGGGATGAGTGTTCTTGCTAGGTGCAAAAAAAAAAGTATTGACACCACCAAGCAACAGATGCATTGCCAGGGTCGGTCGGTATGGTAGGATAGGATATGCAATACTCGGGCAACCAACCCTGGTACATATTGCCCTCGCGGAATACCCGTACCAGAATCTTTTTTGTAACCTGGTACGACATCCCATACCCTGTCCGACACTCAAGGGGGGTAGCTTTCGTAGTTTTTTCAAAATTCCCGAGGTTGCCGTACCAAAAGACTCTTGCAAATGTACCATATTTCTTGCTCGCCCCCAATTAGACTGCATGTTGTGGAGAGTTTTGCATACGAACGACAGCGGCAGAGAGACGAATACCGAAATTATGTTTGCTTGTGCGAAAGCGCGTCTGCGCCCGTTCACTTCTTCCGCTGTGCGTGCGTCCGATGTGCAGAACCATACGGGTCAAGCCCATCGCCTTGTTCTGATACGTGCACCGCGGTTGTACATTTACAACGAGAAACTCACGGACGCGCATGCAAAACGGCGGGGGAGAGGTGCAACACAAACAGATGGATAAATAAATCTCTATACATCAATCTCATACAGTACACCATAAATTCGCAAGACTACTGTATAGACTGTTACTTCTGTTTCGGTGAGATTCCCTGGGCTCTTCGAGGGCCAAAAGCACGTCAGTTGCGCGAGCTGTTAACCGTCGCAACTGGCGGCTGGCAGCCTCCGGCCCTGCTGCCTCCTTCTTTTTCACCTTGCACCATCACACCTCCTGATGACACTCTCGAGTTCTCATTCCTGAGGGATAGCTTGTACAAACCTACTTGCATGGCACCAGGCACGCATCGAAAAGAGGAGGAAGAGAGACCATTAATACAGCCAAAACGAAACGCTTGTCTCCAACCGCGTCGCGGGGTCCGGGGGAGGCGGCGCGTGCCCCCCACGCTCTCACCTCCCTTGGCTCCCCTTTCTCGACCCGTCCGCCCCTGCCGTCTCCTCCTCCTCCTCCTCCTCCTCCTTCCCTTCTCCCTTCGTTCGCGAGGGGCCCCGCAGCGACGACGAGGAAGGGGACCCCGACCCCGACCCCGACGACGCACCACCACCGGGTCGCTGCGTCGGGTACATCTCGAAGCCGCGACCTGCGGACCGCTCGCGGAACACTCCCTCCGGGTCGTACTTGAAGTCTATGCACATGGCCCGCGCCTGTCGTGCGTGTGCGCGCGCATGTGTATGTGTTTTGCATTAGCATCGACCGCGCTGGTCGGCTGGCCGGCCAAATGGAAAGGCGTCAGTCTCAGTGCGGTTCAAAGTGTATGCGTTACTCGTGTTGGCATCGACCGCGCTGATCGGCTTGCCAAATGGAAAGACGCCAGTCTCAGTGCGGCTGAAAACAGAACACTTGTAAGCGTGTTCGCAGCGCCGAAAGGCCTTGGAGGGGGGGCGGGGCAACAGCGATACATGCGTATGGCCTTCTGCATCAAAAGATCGTGGTCCATCGCAGAACTATCATTTTTCAATGTGAGATATTTGATTGGACATAAAAACCGTTATGCAAGGTGTTGGCAGCATGTAAACCGGTTTAAGATCATCCGACTCGAAACGTCATTTGGCGGCATTTTATAACGCTGGGTCACCAAAGACATGTTCAATTTCGAGAATGGCGCCTCCACAAACGGCATTTAGTTACTTCATGGCCGCCCACGAACGGCGGCTGTCGCCTACTGCATCCATCCGGCTGCTGTTGCCTGCTGCGTCCGACGCCTCCGCACGACGCGCGAGGAGCGTGGTCCAACTTTCCTGGGCAAAGGTCTGCTTGCGATCTTGACTGAACAAGGTACACTTATCTCCGAGGTGGTTCCCGCGATACAGGCTGTTTGGACTGCTGCACTGGAATACTCTTCGTACCATGAATTTTCTGCTGTACGCACGAAGAGTTCTTTCTTGCCTTGTGCTGCTGTACTGCCTGAGTGCGGTGCTAGGAGGTAGGGATGGAGCTGTTTCCAAGTTACGTAATGCAAACACAGGTTTGTTTGTGGTCCCTCTCCTCTCTCTCTCTCTCTCTCTCGCCAACATGTGATGTGATCGCACAACATTACACCACGTGTTGATCATGCTGTCTATCTGTCTGTCTGTCTGTCGGTCTGTCTCTGTCCCTGTCTCTGTCTCTGTCTCTCTGTCTCTCTCTATAGCTGGGATGTGGTCGCACATAGACACCAACAGGTGTCCATATCCCTCCTCTTGCTGCGAATCCCACACTTAAGAGAGATCGCAAACATTGCGCCCTTCGCACACTCAGCTTGATCGCAACCCCCAACCACCGTGCGAGCGACCTCACCTTTCTCGATACCCCCCTCAACCGTACCCCTCCTGGGTCGTCCACCGCCAACGCCCGAACCAGCTCCACGCCAGACAAGCCGGTCTCGCGAATCTGATTGGTCATTCGCCATTTTGACGGTTGCAGGTTAGGAGCAAAAAAACTCATCAAACACGCATTCAAAATACGATCGGCTCATTCGTCCACGACGAGGGGAAGAGAACCAACCCCAAACGCCATTTTGACGGTTTCGGTTTAGTGACGGTACAAAAATCTTCCTGGCGGGAACGGAAAAAAACAAAAAAATCTTCACCTTTCGTAAAACAAACAATCTTCGTTGCAAAAAACAAACAAACATTGCCTCGATTGATTGCTCGTGTCGTTCGCCGAACAAGCAGGAGCCGCACGTGTTCCGGAAGCGGCACCGTACCATCGTCAACGCCGGTTTTTGGGTACCCCGTCCGCGCGAATTCGCACGCACGGCATCGAGGCAGACTTGGAGGTGTATAAGATTTCTGCTTTCAAGCAGTAAATAACCGCTGCTTCTTCGGCCAAACAAAGACGACACAAGCAGCAGCAACAGCGCAAACCATCTTTGGAGCGCAGGGAAACAGCAACCACCCAAAATGGTGCTCCCGCAATAAAAATACGAAAAAACACTAACCCACGAGCTTTGCCCTGCCGTTTCTGCCTCAGCAGAGGGCACAGCTGCCTCAGCAGAAGGCACAGAGCGGGGACGCAACGCACACTCTCAACAAAACGCCAACTTCTCCACACGAAACCCGTCTCTCCTCCTCCACCGGACAGGTAAACCGCGGCAAGCTACGGACGTAACCCACACGCTATACGACGGTACCCCACATACTATACGACGGTACTACCCACATTCTGGTACCGCTTGACGAGGACGTACAACAGCGAAACCGTCACGAGGAGGCAGACCCCCATCAACTTCAGGTCCTTCAGCTCCCACGCCACTGGCCCAACACAAGATTGGAAGGTTGAGGGGTGGGTATTGGAAGGGTATAAAGGGGTAGGGGGGGATCAGGGGGGTTCCGTCAGATGGGACGACGCGTGCGGGGGACAACCGCACCCACGAGCCAAAACTGCAAATGAAATTGACGAGGCAAAAAAGGGCGAAACGCAGCAGAGAGAACATAAACACACAACGGGAGTTCGAAATTGACTCGTGGGATGTACACACAACGGGGGTTCGATTTTGACGTGAGTTGTGGGATGTCAAGGGATGGATTGATCCACAAGGTCTATTCCGAGGGAGCTGGTAGTGAGTACTTTTGGGGGGTGCAAGTCGTGGTGAACCTTTGTTTCTGTGAGTTGTATCAGCAAAACACACGTTGCTGTCAATTTCCTTCTTTGTACCGCACACGCAGCCGCACAGCTAACAGCTGCCAAAATACAAGAAAGAGGCCGACAAAGCTCCGAGCCAAAGAGCAGAGCAGCAAGAAGCCCGCCCTTCCCCCAACGCATCCCAAGAACGAGTTCTGGCGTGTAAGCGTCGTCGCTCCTCGGTCACATGAGAATTTTTGGTGTGGCCGCCAAACGTTTAACATTTAACACCGGTAGCCCTTGAGGTACTAAACGTGTTGGCGTTCAAGAACTGCTTACCGACCACCTTGCAATTGATGGGCCGCCAACTGTTAACCTCCTACGCTAAGGGTGTTTATCCATGACTTTTGTTGCCGCCGAGCTGCAAGACCGCTCACGAGCAGAAGGGGGGGGGGCGGAGTCGCTAAGCTACTTCACCACCTTTGGTCACAAGACAACGCTGACAGACAGAGAGGGGGGGCGGGGCTGCTTACATCACTACTACGACCTACCTTCCCAAAGCTGCGAGAAAATGAAGGCGACGAATCCCCAGACTAGCAAGCCGGCGATGCGGCGACACCAAAGGGCCGCCACGTCCGCTCGGTGGTCTCGTACAGACTTTGAGGGACGAAAAAAAAAGAAGGGAGCGACAACAACAAACAGCAGCAGTGCAACATCGCGGAGGGGAAACCAAACACATTCAAGGGCAAAGCGCGGGGGGAGGGAGGAGGCATATATTGTTAGATGTACCAGTGCTGCTGTTAGCATGTTGCGGAGCCACACTACGGAGAGCACACGAGGATACGTGGGGCCGGAGCGCGGCAGCAAGGGGTTTCGTATAGAACGGGGTGGCTTCGCTGCAGGCATCTGCACGCAGGGACGAAGATGCGCGCCGTTCACGACAGGCAGTGGTGTTGACCTGGGCTTTTGCACGAACTGCGAGCAGATTCTCTCGGTGCCTGCTGATACTTTTTGGGGCGCATCCGCTTGACCGATTCTCGAAGCTCGACCACTCCACGACGAAGAGGGAGGGTGCCACACCCAAATGATAGCCTTTTGGAAGCCCCTCCAAAAGACGGTTCCAACGCCGATGTTGTCGGCACCGTCGCTGTAATCGCTGCAGGGTTATCTATGCCCAAAGGCAAGGGCGAGGAGGCACGTGTCGACTTCAGCGCGAGGTAGAAGCAAGCTCTATCTGCAAGTCTGCGGTTGAGAGCGCTGGGCTTCCTGAGCTACGATGCGGTGGGAATCCAATCGTAGAGAGGGTGCAGTGTTCAAAGGCCGAATTGAGGCCATTAGACCAGTCAGCGCTGGCTAGCCTAGTAGCTTCATTTCGGCTGCTAAAGGTGGAGTCTGGTGAGTATAAGAGGGTGAGGTGGAACCTACGGGTAGAGGCAAAGGCGAGCAAGGCTCTTGTAGCTCGTACAGTAGGCAAGGAAGGAACCCTCGCGGTGCAGGTGCAGCACTTGGGTCTTCGGGCGAAATATTCGGGACCACCTTCGCGAGAAACTATATACCATTGAGGGAAAAGAAGCGGGAGCGGGTACGCAGACCCTATTCCCTAACCCTTACCCTGACCCAACTTCCCCTATTGCATGCCTTATCCAACATGTTCACTCAACAGAAAAAAAACTCAAAGGCTACTGAAGATTCATTGGATGGATACATTTTTTCTGTTAGCGAGGGGAATCAGCGGTCACCCTACTCGGAGTGCAAGCGTGGGGCTCTTCGGACCCCAGGACTATCTTGGTTTCGAAGCAGCTGATATCAACCTATTAGACTAGGCAACACCCATATAACCCTAACGGTTCGACTTCGGCATCTATAGAGTGGGTCACAACAACGGGAGAGCGAGTCAACGGAGGCGAAACCTTACGGCTTGAACCCTAGGCCCCCAAATCCTAACTCCGAACACCACCGCCTGATGTGAGGTCTGTGCTAACAGCAACTATAAATAGGTTGGCTCGTGCTCGAGGGAAGTTGGTAGTGGGTGCGTACAGTATTCCGACAAGGAGACGGGGCCACCATGGAGACCACCATTCCGACCAAGGGGTAAACCCGCAAAAATTGAATGCATCCAGGGTTGAGCATGTAAGCCATGCACCCACTCCCTCGACAGGCCGAAAACACCCCATTCAGGGAAAAAAAAAGGATACAGCAGTAGTAACATGTAAATGTTCCCCAGCCTCGAGTCCCCGTCCTGTTCCACTACAACAGGCACAGTATTCTATCCCTTCCACCGGCAACCAGTTGATTTTCAAGCATACCAGTAGTAAATTTGGTACTCATAGCCAAAAGGTTTTCTGCTTTGGCAGGGGCATGAAACCGGCTAAAAACTCTAACGCTAACCCTAACCGTATCCCCAGACCCACAAGATAGGTGCTAGGTTGGCGCTGGGTGGCGTAAGTTGATGGGCCGGCATTGGCGCTAGGCAGGGTGGTGTTGATGGGATATATCTAGTTTGTTATTGCTTGGATAAAGTGTAGAGGGGCTAGGTTGGCATTGATGGGATATATATATATCTAGGTACTGCTTGGATGTGTGCTAGGTTGATTCCTGACGTGGGTATTGTAGGTATGATAGGTGCTACAGCAGTAGGTTGGTGGGCCTTGGAGTAGGCCTCGGTCGCTCTTGGTGGCAGACGGTGCTCCTGCAGGTCTGTCTGTGTCCAGCCAAGTGTGGTTGCAAAATGGCTTGCGTGCGTCCCCGCGAGTTTTTTCGGAGGAAAACACTTGCACTGAAATAGTTGCGGACGTGTGTGTCAGGCTACTACAATATAAGCAGTGAAAATGCTGGTGTGTCCTGCCCAAGAACAAACATCTTCCAGACAATAGAGCGAGCGAAAATGTTTCTAAAAAGCCAGAAACATACTCCCGTGTAGATAGAATATCACGAGGAGATCGACGGCTCAACCGACCAACAACGTACGTACTTGGACACAAACTGGTTTTGCTCATAACATATGTATCATCGAACACGAATGGTCACCGTAGCTACACTAAATAGGACCTGTTGTTGGTGTTGGTGTTGGTGTTGCTGTGGGCGGATGGGTCGACGGGCAGACGGGCGATTGGAACGCCGCGAGCGGCGGAAAAAAAATCGAGTGCGGAAAATACACACGATTTTTTCTTTTTCTCCGCGGTAGATATGCATTTATCGTAAGACACTCTGGCGGGCCGTGAAACTTTGCGAGCATGCACGGAATTGCCCCACACACAACCTATCCCACCGCCTGTTCCCATCTCGCTGCTGGTGTCATCGCATCACGCATGCGTCGTCTTCAACAGCGTACTATTCTATGTTGACGTTGTTGCATTCTGCGTACCCCCTGTTCTTCCCGCGGAAATGAGAAATGAGCAGCCCGTTGTGCGACATTTGGTTGCCCACAACGGCTGGGGGGCGACACGATAGACTTCAAGCGCGCCGTATGCAGAAGGGAAGCGGCAAGGAAGGAATCGGCCACACAGAAAATTGATCATGCCGCTGCGGAGCTGATCGTTTCCCTGCTGCTGCCTGCAGCTGCCTGTGATCGTGCTGTTGATTGCTGGGCAGGGGTCGTACCCCGAAAGCAGTTGCGCCGCACGCGGCACTGCTCACCTCTTCCTCCAGCTGCGCCCACCGTGGGCCGGCCACCCTCCCCTCCTCTAGCTCCAAGGTTTCCTGTGCATGGCTGCTGTCATTGGCCTCCATTGTGGAGCCCAAGATTTGCTGCTTCGTACTGCTGTCAAGGATGATGTGTAGTTGCTTTTGAGGTCGGGGCGGGAGGAAATGGAAAACTGGATGGAGGCCGTTTGTTTTAACTTTCCGCCGAAACGCCATGAATGGGCCGAAACGACACATCTGTCACGACCGATGACGGACGCGCCATCATCCATCACGGTTCGGCTACACGATTCGCTGTTGCGCATGCTTCCAAATAGTAGATGAAGAGGCCGTACTTGCGTGGTCCTAGGAGAACGGCATCCCAGTCTCGAGGAGGAGGAGGAGGCGATACGACGTACGACAGGGTTGAACTTCGGCGAACGGTGTCTCGCTCTGACGGAGACTAAAGCTGCTACTGAGCCACCACCAACTGGTGGTTGAAGTGGGGGTTCCGAGCGCAGTTTGTCGCGTCAAGGAGTGGAAACGCGGTGACTCAAGATATGTCCGACAAGCAGGGCCAAGGGCATCTCGGTGTGGGAAAGCCCTCTGTCGCCGACGAAAAGGTGAAGAGTGAGAGAGAGACCGTTCGATCGTTATGGCCCGGAGGCACAAGGTTGACATCATTGTGTCACATTCGGCAAAATCTGCACAAACATCATCCGTCTATAGTTCGATGCCTGGTTGCGCGGTACGCCCGTGTAGGTAGCAGGAAGGAAGAGCGGTGTGTGTACATAGTCGAAACATCGACAACGGGAATCTACTGTACGTAAGTTTGTAGACAGTCGACAATATGCTGCCGTACGCAATCAAGTGCTCTATTTTCGGGTCCCGAAGGTGGAGTCGACAATCAACACATTGTCGGCGGGGGGCCTGCTCGCTCAGCAATCTCACACGAAAAGAGAGCAGCAGCCAAAGACATTGTCTTGGTGGATTTGGCACATAGTTTATATATACTGTAGACTGCTGTTTTGTATTCAACGCGTGTGGGCTACAAGCGCCCCTCTGAATTCCATCTCACACGTGGTGCTTCTTCTTTGGCGGAGGACGTGACTCCTCACCATATTTTACTGTGAAGGCGTACCCGCACAAGGTTCATGTGTATCACTTCTATGCGGCTCATCTGTGCGTCTAGTGTTCCCGCTCGAAGTCGTAGAGGCAACCCGATCTTGGGCGAGGAGAGAGTTCCGGTCATCTGATTTACATGTGTAATCCCTCCATGCAATAGCTTCAAACATACTTCTTGTCACCACGGAATATCTCATATGTACCTTTGAGTCAGAAAGAGGACGAGCAGGGTAGAGACATGGACGATTTTTAGGGTAAAGACTACACAGCGGTCAGTATGTAGGCTTCGCAAAATAAGCCGATGACCTGCTTGTATCGATCTGGCAAGCACAGCGTTGATCACAGGGATGACAACCCTGGGGAGATGTGCTCGTGGCTTGAAAGCTTGACCGACTCAGGCATTACCTTTCGTTGAGAAGCACGATAACCACTGGGCTACAGTACCACTCAGCGCTGACTGGTAGTCCGGTCTGGCCTTGCAGCCGCGAACACGTCCCCCCCAGGGTTGCCATCCCTGCGATCAGCGCTGTCTTGCCCGGAGATTGCCATCGGTACAAGAGGTTCATCGGCTTATTTTGCGAAGCCTATTTCCTCAGACTTTTTTCCCCATATATCGGTCACTTTCGTTGAGAAGCATGATGACCACTAGACCACCGGTCAGCGCTGACTAGTGGTGTAGTGGTCATCGTGCTTCTCAACATTAAGTACGTCCGTCAATCCCATCTCAGTCGGGTGTTGTCCTTCGGCGGTAAATCGACTGTCCAAAACAACAAAACCTCTCCACATGTATGCGGGCTGTGCGATAGAGTACGACAAACCTCGTGGCAAGAGATCGTTTTATCAGGGACTGCGATGCGCTCAACCTTCAATGGGTGTAAAGCTGATGAAGTAGCTCCAAGAGACTCGTTCGAAAAAGTGGTCGCTACCTTGGTCCCTCCCGTCCCAGATGGATGAAGCTTACAGGAACTTTCGTTAACGACTATTATACACCACGAAGACTCCACAAAGAACCCGTAGAATATCGAACGCGTGTGTAGAGTGAAGTGTTTGGACATACATGTGTACAGGCAGTTTCTGTAAATTGATGCCGGTTGTTGCCGATTTCCTTTGTTCTCCTTGACGATGCTTTCCTATCGCCTTGCACGCACACCACGAAGAAGCCGGAATCCAACAGGCAGAACGTGGGTAGAAATCGACACTCGAGTTGTCCCATCCTGTCAAGCACACACCGAAGAACAGAAAGTCACCTGACTCCAAATGCCCCTGAACCTGGCCATAACGCCACACCATCACACGATTACCGCCAAATACCATGACATCTTCACGAACACGCGAAGGTGTAGCCAACGTCTGCTGCTGCTGCTGCTGCTGCTGCTGCTGCTGCTGCTTCTTTCGTGCAATGTAGGGCGGCACATCGGGAGGCGGCGTGAGCGGCGACGATGGTGATGCGAGAGCTTCCCGCGACAGAGAGGACGGGAGGCCTGCCTGTCTGCCCTTGCCATCCCCTCCGAGGCTGCCATCCAAGAGGACGCTGACAGACAGGTGCACCGCAGCAGCAGCAGCAGCAAGCAAGCGTAGAAACGTTGCAAGGGGAGAACCAGGACGCTCAGATGCGAGTAATCTCGCGTCAGCCACCGTCAGATCCCACAGGGAGAGCTTCCGAAACCTAGGCGGACTCTTATCTGTGGATAGAGATGGACTTCGCCTAGGTTTTGGAAGAACAAAAAAACTATCTGTATTTTCGACACGTTTTCTTCAGAGAGGGTTCCAGGTGGGCATGATATCCGCGGGAAATAAAAGCAACCGCACAGAGGGCCGGCATGACCAGATTGTGAATAGACAGAAGCGGTGCTACATGTGCTGAGGCCCGCACTAAATGGAAAACTGACCTCCTGTAGGTTGAGCAGTCTAGCTCGAAACGGCACAAGCGACAGGCAGACTGCAGGCGCTCATCATTCTTCTTGTTGTTAATCGACTACGCAACGGTTGGCAGCGTGATGGACAGCACGGTGGCGAGGTTCGAGGCCTCTTGTAAGCTCACCGAGCAGGGCACAGCGGCGGCGCCCTCGGCGGCGCGGACGGCCTTGGCGACGGTGTCGTCGGCAGCAAACACCGTCCGGACTCCGTCCTGGGATAAGAACGCAACCCCGTGAGTCGACAGACAAACGTTATTGTCATTCGGTAGCCGCTGGTCTCCTTTAATTACGGCATGGGCAGAGGGAGGGCACGGTGTTCAACCTCCTTTGCTCTCGATTGTAGGTTGAGTTAGAACGACGACAAGAAGATGTAGTTCGCGATTCTCATGTCGCCCGAAAAACGCATCCCTCCCGGGCGTGAGTGCTACCAGAAACTTAATGCTTGCACTTCAGTTGCGCGGTTTCCACCCGAGCTTCTCGACGTGTGATGTTTGTTGCTTTGAGATGTTTTCCACGGACAGAGTGCCAGTGTGGCCACGTGCTTGGGTGTGACATCGTTACTCGTCAACGATGAGGGGGGCTTGTTTTCCGAAAGAAGAGATAAACACAGGAAGCTCTCGCCGTCCTTCATTTGAGCGCGTGTTCTGTCGTTGAGGACAAGCCATCGATAGCTGCACACTCACCAGACCCCCCGTCGCGAGGTTTAACACCTTATATGTACAGTAGTACAAAGCACGGGGGCCACCGGACTCTTTGATGCCGCGGGTATATGCATCTACGCCCAACATCATCTCCGCACAGTCTGAAGCCAACGACCCTTCTTTTAATATCGCGCGCGCGTTCAACACCACCCTCGGTTTGCCTCAGCTCTAGCCATTGCTCCAACTGAGCGCCTTTTGGTTGGAATTGTCGTGCGCGATGAAGGTAGTATCATGGTATTAATCTGTGTGCTGTGATGCTACTGCTATACACCGGCCGCGCACAAGCAACAACCCGACTCGGGACGGAGCATCTTAGAAAACACAGATGCAATCAAAGACAGCATCTTGCACGATTGGTTACTAGCAAGGGATAACCAGGCCGTGCTTCCCCATCCCAACCGGCCTCGTGTCGTGACGCGAGCTCCGACGACGATCACGTCTCGCCCGTTCCTCTGCGGCATGAAAGTCAAATTCAACGCCCCTTCTGTGCCGTGTGTATGTATGTGTTTTTGTTGTTCCCATCGACCACGCTACTGTACCCCGCTGATCAATGACAATACGTCCGTCCATATTGCGGTTGAAAACACAAAGGGATTCTAAAGGCCATCATGATCTGTATCGTGTGTGTGTGTGTGCGTTTGTGTGGACAACGCCATGGAACAGTGCTCACTTGGAGGCGAGGGAGCGCACGGCTCAGGCCTGGATAGAAGCCGTGTCGGGGAGAGCCTGCGTGGAGTACCAGACCAAGCAATTCGCTAGAAACCTAATGAGGTGTGTCTGTGTGTGTGGGGGGGGGTCGGTACCGGGGCGGGCGAAATACCGCTTTTGTATAAATAGTTCGAAGACGAAACACACCCAGGCCAGGGCGTCCGTAACCGCGAAAGCTAAAGCTTGGCATCGACCGCGCTCACCGTGCGACAAGCGCCAACACTTACACCTTTTGTGGAAGAAACCGAGGGAATGAGAGGGGGGTACTTGGAGAGGAAGAATGGAGGAGGGGGGAGGGCACGGCACGCACTCCAGGCGTAGTCGAGTGAATGTTCAAGGACGGGATGTACGGGTTGCTCGATCCCTCGACGATCGCGCTTGCGAGCAGCTTCTCGTTGTTTCCACTCGCTGTCTGGGGTCACCCCTCGCCATTGCTACCTTTTTCTCTGCGGACGGTGCTGCATGCGCTTGCGTCGATAATCACGGTCTCTGCTCCATTCATTCGCCCGTGTGTTCGTTCCGGCGGCAGTGGTGAAATCCTCTGTGCCTTGGTCAACGCCATCCGCCCGGGAACGATCCCCCACGTGCACGAGAGCCAGCTAGGGTTCGAGCAGGTACCCCCGTAGATTTAATAACAGGCATGCACACGAATGTTGACACCGGGAGGGGGGTGGAGTGACGTGGGGAGTCGTCGACGGGAGACTATATACGCGGAGGGCGGGGGCGTGAGTGTGTCGCAACAGAACAGCACCCTTGTGCGGTGATCAGCGTTAGGGTATCTTCATCGTGCGGCATCTTCGTGCCGCTTGGTATTTGATACCCCGGTGACGTCCCCAAGATCTTAGTTTTCACAGCGACGTCCGCTTCGGGTCCGCGAGGGGAGGGAGGGGAGGGAGGGAGGGGTGGTGGTGGTTGTATACCGTACCATGACATCCATTGCTCCCGGTATAGAAGTGGTCGGTATCAGTGGTAGTGCTACAATGGTACGTAGTAAGCTGTTTCATCGCTGCCATGAAAAGAGACAGGCATGACGTAATTCAGCTGGCACTACGGTAGTTAGCTGCTTCATCGCTGCCATGAGATAGAGACAGGCATGACGTAGTTCAGCTGGCTGGTCTCGCTTCTCCCGGGTCCCCGCCACGACAAGGGATTCCTTCGAGCGATCGATCGATAGCTCTCGGTCGGTAATGGGAGGGTGGCTCCGCCACCATGGGCACATGATTGACCTGCAACGTGAGCTTCCGTAGTAGGGCACGCTCTCCTCAATCCGGCTGCACAGCCTTGACGACGTCCATACAACGTTCGCTTCCACATGACTAAAAGCACAACGACATTTCACGGGCGTGTGTGACTGTTTTCTCGTCTCGGCGGCCAGATGGAGAACATCAACAGCTTCCTCTCGGCGTGCTGCAAGCTCGGGGTACAGGCCCACGCCCTCGTCGACACCGCCGACGTGTTCGAGATGAGGGACACCGCCAAGGTCGTGGAGTGCGTGGTGAGCGAGCGGTCTGCGTGTCGAGTGCCTCCCAGCGCTGTTGGTCATCGGTGGCGTGCCGGACTGTGATGCTTCGGGCTCTCTCGGTGTCTCTCCTAACCTTTTGTCGGTCATGATCTGTCCAATTTCACGTTCAATAAAGCATCTGTTGCCTCCCTCCGTGTCAATCTGTTGGTGCGTCTCTCAATCTCTCGCTCTCCCTCTTTCTTGCGTGTGTTTCTCGCTCCGCTATTTCGTGAACTTCTTCTGCGTATCGGTTCGAGTATAGCAGTGAAATACTTACTGACGATGCCCTTCGACGGTCCCGCCTGCCCTGCTGCGTGTCCCGTGCTCTACCCTCCCGTTTCCGAAAAATACGTGCGAAAACAATAAAAAACAACGACACCACGTCCAACACCACCATCGCCGCACCGCCACAACCGCAACCGCACCTCGGAAACAAAAAACACAGCACGCTCTCGGGAGCGCGGTGCAGGTGTCCTGCCCGGAGTTCGGCGGCCCCCACCTCGGCCCCGCCGCCGATCCCACATTGGTCGCCGCTGTCCCTCCCGCGGACGAAGACGAAGGCGATGACGGCGGTGACGGCGACGGCAAGGACAACGCTGTTGCTGACGACGATGACGATGAAGATGGGGCCTTTGGCGACTTTTGGCGAGCTTCCGTGAGGTGCGTGGTCATCTCCTCGATCGATCGCACCGAGGGGCAGAGGAGCGAGCGGCCTTCCGTGCCTCGAAATGCGCTTGGTTGGGTGATGTAGCAGCTGTTGCGGGTGTACACGAAGCGGCGGCTAGTCCACGTCCAAGCTGGCATGGGGTGGTGCTGGTGTAAACGATCAACACGCTTCCTTGCCGTGTATCGACCCTTCCACCCCCAATCTCTCCCACAGAAACGGAAACAAATGAAGAACGGATATGACGTAGACTTGTTTTTTGCTTGTTTGGCGCCAGGCGGAACGTGCCGCACCGAACTCCGACTGCTGCAAGAAGAAACGTAGGAACTCATGTCGAATCGCTTGAGTTACAGCAGTGGCAAAACTCAAAAGGCTGAAACTGCTGCGTGGGTGACGATAAATTCTACTTGTAGAGAATAAGTTGAAGGGATTCCATACTACAATATCTATCGCGTCACGGACGGCTGCGGGCGTTGCGGCAACGGCGATCGATGACGGGGTCTTGCGGGTTTTCTCGTACCAGCTCAGAGTGTGGGACGGTTTCGCCGTGAACGAAACCCTTGGCGAAACCTTAGATGGAATAACTACCCTTCCGCAAGAGTGTGTCGATCTTGAGCCATACCCGGGTCAACTTTTCACCGGAAGCATACGCGGATTTTGTTCTACTTGGTTCGTAAATCACTCCGTTTCATTCATATCTACGATCCCAATCAAGCACCATTCTTCGACGGCTGCTAGGAACGGTATATACGCCATCAAGCAAGCACCCGGGCAATAATTACAACTTACCCGCGAGCGCACGCGTGCGCTTGGAACCATGTCATCGAGCAGGACCGGTGGAAACGCACCCCGCGAAGGCGGCGGCGGTCGTGACGGGGACGTTGCCGGCGACAACACGCTCGTGCTCAATATGCAGGTGCGCCCACCCAAACACCGACACACGTAAACAAATGCTGCTCTACCCCGCTCGGTCTCTTCCCGACGCCCCCCCTCCTCAAAACGGATATTAGCCGATAAAGTCCGTCGTGCTCCTCCTCGTGTTTTACGTTGTGAGTTGGTAATCCGCCCCCGCTGCCTGGTGCTCATCGTACGAAGCATAGCGACGTGCCTACGCGAGAACAAAATCTACCCCGCTTACCCCCACTCCCTCCTCCCCCCTGCCGCACCTCTCGACCTTCCGCAATCTGATTTCGTCTTGGCCCCGTATGAACATGGCAGGATGTGGAACGTCCCCGTTCGACCCGACGAGGCTTCACGACAACGGTGGGGAGCATCACGGACCTGGACCCACCGGCCACGCTGTCAGCTCGGGCGCGCCAGATGTGTCCCACGGAGGTATGCCAACAAGCTCAAGCACGAACAAGCACGCTACCAAACTGTTTGACAGCGTTCACCATGGGTTCACCGTCGAAGAGCGTGGCAACTGAAAGGCCGATAACGTTTTCCTGTCCCGCGGGCCGACCTCGATTCACACACCCCCGCCCCCGCTGCTCTCCCCGGGTATGTTTCCGCAGATGGTCAACTCCCCGCGAGCATTGGTGTTCAACGCTGATCCTGTCGGCCACCCGACTCGATCCCCGACGTTACGGGCGGCGTGGGAGTCGAACGCGACCAACGGAGGGCGTGCCGCCGCCGGCCGCAGCGCTTGGGGCACCGACGCGTACCCGGCCAAGCGGGCTGCAAAGGTGGGGCGGGTGTTCGTATGGACAAGGGCGCGACACCTACGTTTACGCGGAATACTGTTGCTGTCTTGAAACCACCAAGCTTTGTTCGGGTCCCCTTTTTACGCCTCGCCGGTTGTTTGGTCGACCGCGCTCGTTTTGGAGACCCTTGTTGCTTGGTTTTTGGGCTGGTGTTTGCAACCCGCTCTAGATGAACATTCCCGGACCCATGCGTCTGACGCCATTGACTCCAGCGTCTCGCTGACCATATTCTGGTGCAATACTGTAGAGTTTTTGTTTTGTTTTTTTTTCCTTGCAGAGTGTTCCAACGAGCATGGCGACTGCCGTCGATCCTTGCGGTTTTCGCTGGGCGCCTTCCGTCGCCCCCGCTTCTGTAGCCCTAACTCTCTGCCGAAATTGCACCTATGCCTGTAATGCCCACAATCCCCACCGCTGCTGACGCCATCTAGAATCAACGTGCATATTTGTAGCGCCCATCGCCCCCCACTGCTGTCTTTGCCTTTCCTTCAGGCCACTTCCAACCTATCGGCGACCTCCTCACGCGGCATGACGCTCTCGCCGGCAGGGATATGGGGAACAGGCGCGGGAACGGCACCGAGAGAAGGAATAGGCAAGAGCGCCAGCCCAGCGGCGGCCAGCGCAAATTCGGCCACTGCCGCCGCCGTCGCCGCCTCACACACCGGAAGCGAGGACCCCGAAGGCACCGAAGAGGGCGCGGAGGAAACGGGGGGGGGGGGAGGGGGGAGGCGCTAGGAAGAACGGAGGAATGCCCGGAAACCCGATGTGACCTTGTGCGAGCGTGTGTGCCCCCCCTGTGGTCTCGTAGCAGCCGACAAAAACAATGAATTGTAATGGGGCATTGACGAGCGCCACTCACCTCTGTTGAGTCACTACCGTCTTCTCGATTCCCTCCGTCACCGACGCCTCCTCAAGAGGCGGCAAGAGGGGCTTGAATCCCGGCGGGGGATGGGGCGAGGGGGATGGAGGGGGGGATTCCTTGCGGCAGGGCGAATGAAGGAGTCGGGCCAGGCTGTGTTTTTCTTGACCTTGGGTGTGATTGCCTCAGACTGCAACGGCCATGATGTAGAATCATCGGCCTGGGGGTCGCTATCAATTCCTACCAACGCGGTATCGCGTCGAGCCTATCGTGGAGCTTGTAACGGCACCCACAGCGTTTACAGGTACAAAACGTTGCACGGACGAGAGAGTGGGGGGGGGGAGGTTACGGTCGATCGAACCGTGGGTGTCGAGAGCAGTGTCCTTGGTTAGGCTGGCTTCGTTCGGTCGTTGTGCTTGAAGGTGTTGCCTGTCGTCACAGCAGCGCTCATGTTCCTTCGTGATCGATCGTCGATGTTCCTGATTCTCAGGCGTTGGACCATCAATTCCGCGCGTGTCGGATCTTTGGTCTCCCGCCGATGGCAGTGCCACCAGCACAAAGAGGCGATAGTCGAAACGGTGTGTCAGAGGTCAGAGCCCCATCTTGTCGGCGAAGAAAATGGATGGGATTGAGAGATATTTCGCGTGTGGAAAAGTAACAAGTGTATGGGGGGGTGTCCATCGGCGGGGATGATGTTGAAAGCTGTAAGTGGCTGCGTTGATCAATTAGTTGGACAGATCGGGTTTACAGACCTAGCAGATCAAAGTTGGGGCCTCAGCAAAAGGAGCGAGAGGCCTGCAGAGAGAGGGAGAGGGTGGACCGCGGGCCGTAGGCAGCAATTTGAGTCCGAGTGGTAACGAAGTATTGCGGGGAAGGAGGGTTCAACCACGTGAAAGAATCAAGGGGGTGGTAGAGAGAGGTTCTTCACCGTGTCAACAGTCAAAAGAACACAGCGGAAACAGACCCCACGAAATGATAGCGACCTTCATTGTTCATGCCGTCATTTCACGTGAGCCAAACAGTGTTGTAGCAGACAGCATACCTGTTGTGGATGTACGTCACATGCAAGTGCGTGAACGAAAGAGAAGATTCTACTGTACAGTATCACAAGGTAAAAAAAGTGGAGGGTTCCTCCGTGTTTGCTTGACCTTATTGCAATGCCGCACATCAACAGCCTTCGTACGGAAGCTTCCAGACAGCTTCGGGTGGATGTCGATTTATTATGTGCTGATGTGGAAACCAGGATATGTAGGTATCTTCCCAGGAGTAGGGACGCACATACAACCGTATAGATCCGTGACCCCAGGAACGACGTTCTCGAGGTCTGAAGATCTTTACAACGAAAAGACCCTCCGTCTGCTGTGACCAGCCGGAGGGTAGAAGCGAGCCCCTGAAGCTCACTCTCACCTTTCACCCTAGCAAGGCTGACTAACGTCAGCCACGCTTGGCCATTCCTTGCCACACTGCAATAAGAGCGAAATTACCTCCGTTGGTGAACGGTTATTCACCACTTCAGGCACCTTTGCTCATAACAGAGCAAGGGTATTCTCACTGATGCACAAACGCTAGAATACGACCGGATAAATATCTCCCATTCCGCTCCACGCATTTCGCGCTAGGCCCCGCCAAATATGGGGACACCGAAACACGAAACACCCACCAGCATCGACGTGGTCACTTTCGGCACAAATTGAACATCAGGCAATGACGAAATGACACAAATTCCACCGTTTTGTTCGATCGAAGCTCTTTCTTAGGAAAAATACGAGTCGAATCCACCGAGAGGTTGGAATCGCCCTCGCCGAAAAATGAGGGGAGGAAGAGACAAGAGTCCAAAATACATCAATGGCTTGATATTGCTAAATCGAATACGAGCAAGTCCAAAAATACACCAATTGCTTTGATAATGCCAATTCGAATATGAGCAAGATCCCCGTTCTCCGCAGCAAAACCGAAGAAACACATTCAGCTAGACCCCGGCCGCGCACCACGCCTCAAACGAATATTGACGTTCGTCTATTGCTACTGGCTGCGAAATCCTGATTGTCTGTTGTAGTTTTCGTGTCTAGCCTGGGCACTGGAACCAAGCCCGCACGCAATCTCAACACCACACCTGTGTCCTTCGATCTGTAGACCACCTCCCTACCCCCGTTCGAAACCGGAGTGCTTTCGCCCGTCGTCACCCGCAAAACATGCGGCACTGACCATTCTCATAAAAAGGCACCCTTATACGCAGCAGAATAGGCCGCCATGTCGGGGCTCAGTTCATGCCGAGAACGCTGTGGTACTTCCCACCGGTATCGAAAAATCTCGGGGCGGTATCTGTCTTCGTTTCTCATCTGGCCCGTACATTACGTATGCCCATGGAAAATGGCGTTACTGTCCATGGGAACCCCGCCACGGCCGTACAACCGACCGCGTCTTCTCCGCTCAACAAAGGTAAGTACCGGCGACCCCTCCAACATCAATACTCTGCGCCAATCGTGATCACCTCTCCGAAATTGCGGAGTAGACGTAGGTGGCATGACATCGCATACCACACCCCCCTCGACCGATTTTCACAGCTCGATGACTCCGCGATGAAGACGATCCATGAATGACACAACGAAGTTTTTGGGAAATCTCCTCCGCTCCAACGCCGCCATCTTCGACGATGCGACTCTTTTCTGCAGGGGAGAAATCGAGTTTTGACAGTCGATCCAGGGTGTGTGATGTCTTGCGTCATGTCACCTACGGAAATCCTGTTGCTGTATCACCAACCGTGCTGCGAAGGAGCGAAAAACCAGCCCAAAAAGAGGGTCAACCGATCAATCCGTCACAGCAGCTGCAGTTCGTTCCTGCTTCTTCTCCCGTACCCAATTACACTTTTTAGAATTTTCCCGATCGGTTCTGGCGCTTGATCTTTTCTCGGCTGTCGAGCTGAACGAATCGCCTGAACTCGTCGAGCGTGTAGTCGTCCTCCTTCGTACGCTTTAACCTCGCAAGACTTGGCAGCTACGGGGCCGACGGAGGGGGCAGCGGACGAGGAAAGTAGGGAGGAGGGGGATATCCTGGTCAGCTGCTACACGTAGCTATTGCTCGACGGCGCCATGTAACAAAATCAACACAGTTTTGAAAAACGCGCGAAGTGTGTGTACATGAGCAGAGGGTGGACACGCATAAGTTGTTGCGTCGAATACTCTTGTTCCCTGGAGCGCACACGTCCCTTTAGATGGGGCGGGTTGGCCGGAAGTGTACTGTAGACGCCACGGCGACCACCGCAAACCCACGCGCGCCAGTTTATCGAAAACTGGTTGTGTTTGTTGAAAGGCAATGCTGGTTCGGCTGTCGCGGTGCGGGCATGCAGCCGCCATCAAAATCACCCATCGAGTTCATTACGAGAGTGCTCGAAAATGACACTTTGGTTCAGGCCATAAATAACATACGCTATGCACATTGATTCACTTTTTTTAAAATTCCTGGACCTCAATACACGGACGGGGCAAGGTTGCAAGTCATCGTAAGGGACAAAAATGCAGAAAGCACTCCCAGCGCCTTTCCACCGCAACCTTTGCCGAAGACGAGAAACTCCGAAAAGTTGTGCTGTTGACGGCTTTCGGACTTTTGTCAATATCTAGATTTCGTCAGCTTCAGGCGACCGTTGTATCCGATACCCCCAACGCCGGCAACGGCACGCTCCTGGCAACCATCAACCGTCTTTTATCCCAAAGAAGCCTCCTGAATCAGCAACGAAAACATCGCCTACCAAAGAACGACACCGTATCAGACCCTGTAGTTGTACATCGAGCAAGACTCTTCCTGTGAGAAATCGACCCCCCTAAGGCAAGACGGGGTTGAGCATGGTGCCCGCCCGCCCCTCAAACGCTACACAACAACCCCCCTCCGCCAGCAAAAACCTTAGCAAGAAGAATCAACACATACCCTTTGGACTGGGTTATTCTCTTGAACGGGTAGGTATTCTTCAGAGTGATTTTCTGTAAAAGCGTAGTTCAATTGTTAGGCCTGTTTTTTATTATTTCGACCGGGCTGCTGTCGGTTTCGCTTTATCGTTCGGGTCGCGGAGATGCCACGTTTTCTTAAGAATGTGTGCATGTACCAGGCATAATATAAGGGTACATACAGCAGTACCTGCATATTCCACAGCCATTCCGGGTATTCCTCGTCGGGCATGACCGAAGGGTCCTTTCCATCCTTCAGGAAATTGATAGGCGTCACGCCTAGCCCGTGCTCCCCCGCGCTGTCTTTCGCGCTGTCGCCGCCGCCGCCGCCCTTGCCCCCCTTCTTCCCGCCGGACGCCGCTGAGGCGCCCGCCTTCGCCATCATCCCTCTCGCGCGAACGCCGGCGGTGGGTCTGCGACAGGTGGTAGTAGAGCCCGCCGCTCCTTTTCGTGCGCCGGGTGTTCGCGCATATATTGACGCGGGTGGTTTTTTTCGTGCAGGGAGGGAGAGGGAGGGTTTGGGTACAGTATTCGCGGGGCGTAAGTACGCCGCCTTTGGGGAGTCGGCTCATTTGCCGCCACGGCTGAATACAAGGAAGGCTGCACGCGCGACAACACCCGGACACGCAACATGCGCAGTTCACTCAGAGTTTGGGGCACACTCTATCGTACACGTTGGGTGAAGAACTTCGACAGCTACTCTATTCTACACTGAGAGCGTAGGGTCACGCCTCATGCAGCACAGGGGAGACGCTGCAAGACTTCGCAGTCTGTCTACTGCTGTACCGGCGAGAGACATGCATGCAGACCCTCACAGGCAATGCTGGGCGGTCGCCAACAAGCGCACCGCTACAACAAGCGTCGATGCCATCGCATCGCAGCAGGTGCTCGTCCTTCTAGATAGCATCTACTTTCGTGATTGTTTCGGCAGTCATGTGGAGGTCATGTTTGGCATGCTGCACAACTGGACCTCCGAGAAGAGCGCATGGATTTACGCGGCGTGGCCTGCACAATCTGTGGTCTATGACCCGGATGTTTAGACCGCTGGGTGCTGTGCAGCATTGCTTGTTGGACTCAATGTCGGACAACTCACGACACACGAGCTAGAAGCAACATTTCGATGGGCGTGCAACCCTGGTGGGCACCAACTGTTACCTAATAAGCTCCGTGGTGGGACACAAGGACGGTGCCAAGCTACAGGTAGACTAACACAGTTGGGTAGGTGCAGATCCCGCGGTGAGTTACTGATTCCCCCCCTGCCTGCCGTATGCAGGCTACTGCTGTAGGCGGATCGCAGATGGTGAGAGATGAGCAGAGTCGTGCCTAACACACATAATCGCGTAACAAATCACAACTTCGTTCTCCTACACAGGTCATTTCACATGCCAGAGTGCACAAACCACGCAATTGTAGGCCGTGCCGCAGCTACTGCTGCTGCTGTACTGGGACGCAATGTACAGCGCAGCTACGAAAGCAGCAGCCACATGTTGCTCAGCACAAAACTTTGCTTACCAACATGTCTCGGCAAAGCTTCCGCGCATCGCAGGCGCACCACTCGTCTTGCGGATGAACTCAACATGATAAACCCGTCGTGCGTGCCAGGACTTCTGTCTCTGTCTTGCTCTGCTCGCTGTGATCTGCTGTGTGATGAGGCGCGGTTGTGGGACGCTCACGGGGGTTCTGTGCGTGTGAACTGCCCCCCAACCTGTACAGGTTGCGGACCCCCTCGAACAGCAGGATGCAGTGCATGCATGCCGCAAAGCACGCACCAAGCAGCAAGCCGAGCTACGCATCTATCTAGCTCTTCCACCTTATTTTCTTCCACGGCGACTCATCGATCATGAACGGCACGTCCTGGAAAGGTTGATCTGTCGGTAGTAATCTCCAGCAACGACGGGTACGTGCACTGTGTCGTTGGAAGAACTGGCTCTATTATTTTCTCTCACTGTCGGTGTCGTACCCTACACTACAGCCTGCGGTTGTGTCTGGTGTGGGTTGTGCGCCCTAGTCTCCCTCTTACCTGTAGCGTGGCAGTGAATCAACTAAACTCTATCTGCCGTGACGTCGTTGTGAGTACTAACTGGTGAGATCCTCCTCGACAGAAGACGCACAACGGACCCTTCGGTCCCAGCGCGATGACCTCGATCGGCGCTGGAGCACATTATTACTGCCGCTCTCAAGACATCTGGGCCTGTTCAACTTGCTGCTTAAGGCCGGGAAAAATAGCGGAGGGCAGGGTGGAGGGGGAGTGGGAGGCGGGCGTACCGTGATCGAAACGTCGATCGATCTGGTGTCGATCGTGTTGCGCTTATAATAATAAGAGGTCTGGGCGTTTTCCTACACGTACGCTAGATCAATCCTTCCGATGTAACCCAGTGTATGCATAGGAGCCACAACTTCTCCTCTCCGTACACCACAAAAAAGAGGGCCCTGCCAACGTTCGTAAGGCCACCGGCCTTCCTTGGACACTGACCACAGACTTGAACCCGCTATTTATTCGCACCCAGGCATCCCGAAGCTACAAAATGGGGGCACGCTGAAGCGCCAAATAGGGGGCAGACATCGAGCCCGAACAAAAAAAAAAGCGCAGATGGGTTCACATCCCGCTCGGGCCACCTTCTATGGCGCAGCTGGAAAGCGGTGCGGGCCTTCTTGCAGCGCGGCCCTTCGTCGGCAGCCCAAGACCACGAAGGGAACGAAATGTGTGTTCGGAATTCGGAACCGTGATGAGGGACTGGACGCGGTCGTGGACCTATTACGGCAATGCGGAGCGGGCAATACAGCCATCTTTGACAACGAGTCATCCACGATCAGACTCCCGCGTATAGATTTCTGGATTTCGGCCGGGATGGGAATGGTACGCTTGGCAAGACGAGACCGGAGTTGTATGCCCTCGGCTCCGGCCGCCTGGACGTGGCCTCGTCGTCATTGGCTGGTCACAAGCTGTCGAGATCACGAGGAAAGCCGGTAGCTATCGCGGGAATATTGGACGGTGGATCTTCACAAGCGTGGGTGCAGCTGAAGAATATCGGGAGTGTTGGTGGCATGCCAAGAGGATGGGAGAGGGCCTGAGAGAGGTATGGTGATGTTGCTACATAGCAGAACGTTTTTCGGACGGTGATGAGGCTTACTGTGAAAACCAATCATTCCGGAACCGTATACTTACGTAGCGACTTAATGTTTGGCGAGACACTGTGCGTTGCACTGATTCTGCACTCAATAGAACGTGATCTCTTTCCCATTCGCACTTTTTGCAAAAGTGGGTGTGTCTTGTTGCCATTAAGAAGCAGACGGCCCGCAGCGCGGTTTGGTTTGGCGTAGTCGCCCTCCTCGTAAAAAATTGTTGAGACATTCCAACCTTAAGAGTACCACACCATTCCCGGCTCGTTCATTCTACTCCGGTGTACACAACCCTCGTCTCACCGGCTGGGTTCCACTACGTGAAATCGGGCCCCAGGGTCTGATGTTGTGCATGCACGTGTTTGTCGCATGAGAGCACCACCTTTGGTTGTCTGTGAGTGGGGGCCGAAGTTGACGGAGTTTCGAAATATTTGCCTGCAAGTCTTGTCGAGATGCTGGTTCTCACTATGTGACACACATACCGTGTGATACCGTGTGCTCTTGACTCCCATTATTCCTTTTGCCAAACCCAGAACTCTCCAGCCAGAAGTGTTGGGTGTCGGAGTCAACTGGCTATGACGCACAGCAATAATAGGCGCCTGTACCAGCCAGGCGTACGAGCTCGTCTGCCGATGGGAAGAAGAGTTGATTTTTGGTGGAGCACCTCTTTACTTCCGGGCGGGTGAGCGGCCTGCTACGCAGCATAAGACGTGGCGCTCACCAGGGCCTGGCACCAAATCAAAGTTGCACATGAAATGCGTTAATTACGGGGGGCACTTGCCTTCACTTCGTTTCTTGTCACCGCCCAGCTATGTTCGGGTCTATGGGAAAATGCCTGTTTGAAATAAGAACGAACGGTGTTCCAGAACCTGCTGATGCTGTGGGTGGACCGTTTGATACTTTGCCGAACTCATGATGCAGGCTAGACCAGGATTCTGATGAGTCGCTCGGATGGGTTGCATGTATTCGTCGGGAGCGGAGATGAACTTGGCTCTCTCTGCGAGCGACGAATCAGACGTGATGAGCTTGTTGGTTGAAGAACGTAGATCGACCCCCCCCCCCCCCCTCCCATTGTTATTTTTTTGTTGTGCTTGAGAAGTACGGGGTAGCTGTTTTGTTGTGCATAAGCAAGAAGGGAAGGTATCATCGAGACATCTGACGGCAGCAGGGCCGGTCGGTGTGTTCACTGACGGTGTACTAAGTGTTTCGGGGTGCTCGGCAGGAGAGTACTCATCTATGGGGTCTCCTGGGGTGTTACGCGGTAGATCGTTTGGGTATGATGAGCATGACGCGCGGGGACCCTCTTGTCTTGCCTCCCTCATGTCTGCGATTCGTTAGCAGTCAAGGGCTTGGGTCAACCTTCTTTCTCTTCCGGCCTATGACGAAAAGCTAGCTAGCTGCTGCACCCGAATAATCAGTCAACGCGGGAAAAAAATATGATCCGTCAGTCAGTCCACTGGACACTGCAAACATCCCAAAACTTGAGCTGGCGTTGGACGTCCCACGGATACGTCATGTCCATGGACATTTCCACGGACATCCACGGGAGACGTCCCCACTGGTCCCCACGGATGGCGGCCAAATGTCTACGGGCGTATTTGCGTGGAGATGTCCACGAACAAACGCGTCCGCACAAAATTCGTCCGTGGACGCCTAAATAATACGCTCTACCTAGTCACAACAAGACATGCATAGACTACATCCACAACAGTCAGTCATGGATGGACGCCGACGGACGGACGTCGTTTCATGAGCGTTCATGGACGGACGCCCATCGACAACCATGGACTGCCATGTCTGTGGATATCCGTCCGTGGATGGACGGACGTGGCCGTGGACGTCCATGGACACGTCCACCAAAGAGTCAAATAGTGATACGTAGCAAAATAATTGGTAGATAATAACTCGTTCAGTGATACCCTGTGCCCGATCACGAGACGACAGAGTTACAATAATTGTGGCACATATATCATACCGCTGTAACTAGTCTACTACGCTTAGTCTCTGTATACACATTGATTGCGAGCCTTGCTCAAATAGAGGTAATAGTCTAGATGTTTTATGGTGGGTCCAAGTAGGAGTAGGTGGATGTCAAAAGAATCACAAGCAGCAGCAGTGTGGTGTCACCCAAGATCCTTCTGTGAAGAAGAAGACCACGCAAGCATCTGGTCAAACCAACCGACTCCAACTGCTGAGAACACTTCCATCACAGCCTATTTTCGTTGTTATGCCGACCACACTCACTCATCAACTCAAACTCTCGGTCTGTCTGATCGTCGAGTCCTGTGGTCTCGGTGGGGTGAAGTGTCAAGTCTGGGTGCACAACTAAATTCGGTTTGGATGAGCCCTGAGGTGAGAGAGGTGAAATAGTATTTAGTACCTCTCTTTGAGTGATGAGTAGGTATAGTTGTTATTGGGTTGTTGTTTTCTTCACATTAAACTCGTGTCAGTTGCTAATCCCAGTATCTACCAGAGGCAGACCGTGGTCACAAAAATGCTAGAGCCATCAGAAGAAGATCTAAAGAACACGCACACAATTATTAGCGAGAAGAAAAGGGCACAAGCCCGAAGAGGTACACCTACAATCCCTGCAGCACGTTTGCGTGCCCAAAACTGAACTACACGCCCACACACTACATTCGACTATGCAGCAGCATCATCCCCCCCCTGTCCCTCCAAAATGAATGAATGAGTAGGGAGGGAGGTGAAGAGGATATTTTTGTGTAACTCTGTGTTGATCCAACCGCCCGAATCGGGAAAATAACTTCTTCACCAATGTGTGCCAACAACAAACTCCTCTACAGCAGTGTAGCATGCAAATAGAGACAGCGCTGCTGCCGTTTCCACCCCTGGAACTGCTCTACAGCGTAGACAACAGCTCGCTGGCCTATTCCCTTCAATCTGAAGTAACTTCTCAGCAGTAAGTACATGAAAATGTTAAACATGATCAACACGCTCGCGCGTGGTGGCCACCTTGAAGTTCTGCGCGAAGCAGCAAGCAAGACGACCCAGACGAGCACAGGCGGAGGTTGTCTGGAGAGAACTACCGGTAGTAGCAAGTAGTAGCGTAGTCAGACCCTGCATGATCCAACCATGTGGTGACAGCAGTGTGTGGGATGATGGTGGTTGGTGGACAGGCGGAGGTTGTCTGGAGAGAACTACTACCGGTAGTAGCGTAGTCAGACCATCCTGATGCAGTGGTGACAGCAGTGTGTGGTTGATGGTGGTTGGTGGTTCCAAGATGCGGATATTATCAGGTATTACAGCAGAAGCAGCAGCACATACATATACATTGTTGTTGTTGTTGTTGTTGTTGTTGTCTTCACATTAAAAACCGTTCCGATCTCTCTCTACCCCGTACCTTCATATGTCGCAGAGTCGTGGTCCTGCCATCATACCACGAACGGTGCGCATCGGTATCCAGAAGTACATAATAATATCATAGGAAAAATAAAACAAACACGCCGGCAGGAAGTACGGCTGTACCCGTTCGAGATAATCATATACATAGTGCTGTGCATAGGCCAGCCGCCAGTTCATCCGAGCGGTATCCATGCTCACCGCTCTGCCGCAAAAACGCGCAGCAGCGCATATGCGTATGTACATACATGCAGCAGAGATGATCGCATCATTAACAACACCAACGAACGGCGGCTGTGCAAGGAGGGTTCTTGGGTTCTTTAGCACGGTGGGGTGGCATTGGAATTCTACACATGAAACCTTGGAATGCCACCTTGTGGAATCTTGGAATTTTCGGTAGTTTATTCCCAATTCAACCATTCAACCATATACAATATGGCAGAGGATATGGCAAGCGGCACGCCGACCTCGGGCGAGAGCGGGTTATCTTTTTTCGGTTCTCGCCGCACCCGCTCCCTACATCGCAGTATTCTACAGCAGCATCCCCGTTCCTTCCTCTATCGCGAAGCAGCAGCACGAGAGCGGTGAGTGTCGCGTCCGAATGAATGTGTATGTACCTTTGCCACAAGCGTTGGGGTGCTGTTGTCCCGAAGAGTGTCGAATGGTGTAGTGGTCTACAGATCAATGTGTGCTCTGTGTGAAAACGGACGTCGGAACCATTTTTATTGCAGCAGGTGTAGTACGTGAAGATTGATTGCCCGCTCAGCAGGGGAACAGCCGGCAGAGCTTGTTGGACATTTTACGTTTTACCCCAGTGCAGACCATCGCGCACCCACCGCTTCTGCTGTCTTACCCCCCCACAATCCTCTCCTGCCGCTGCTGCTGACAACCCGCCACCCCCGACTCTCCTGGATAAGAACTTGCCGCGTCATCATCGCCAGGATTGGCCCAACATCGATCAGACAGCCACCATCCCGCCGGTACCCTCACCGCTTTCCCCCTGCTGCTTCGTTCAACTGGTGTCGTAAGCAACGGCTGCAGAAAGAACTATTGCACAACAGGGGCGAGAGCAAGAGGAGATCGATCATCCACAACAGCAAGCGCAACCCAGCTCATCGGGCGTAGCAGCAGTCTTCAGTCTTCGGCGCGGGAGGCGTGAAATCTCTTGTCTTCAACGCGGACAAACCAGCAGCAGCCCGACCGATCAACCAGCCCGGCAACAGCAGCAGCAACAGCGGGACAGCCGGCTAGCTAGCTCGCGCGTGCCTCTGGAGGAGAGGGTCGTCGTCTACGACAGGTCGGACTTTTCCACAAAAAGCGCACATCAGCAGTTCCACACACACACATTCATTTACCAACCAAGATGTTCAAGCGGCGGTCATCCAAGGAGCTAAGCGCCAAGATCGGATACGACCATGTCAACGGCAAGGCGTCGAGAAACATGTCCGTGTCTTCCCTGTCCTCGAGCACCTCCGCCGCCAACAACGCCGTCGCCCCGGTGGCCAGCATCCCGCCCCCCGGCGGCCACCTCCACCACAAGCAGGGCTCTTTCTCGTCCGGCTCGTCCTCCTACCGAAAAACGACCGGCATGCCCTCTCCCGAGGGCGACAGCGGAGATGACCCGTCCGCCGAGAGGCCCTCCCCGCTAGCGGCGCTCAAGCCGCTCCCTCCCGCCGAGCAGCAGCAGCAGCAGCAGCAGCAGCAGCAGCAGCAGCAGGTTATCTCGACCAAGGCTCCCAGCAAGGTCAACAAGTCGGCGGCGGCGGCGCCGAAGGTAGTAGCCGAGCCGCCCTCCAAGAGCCTGGTGATCGGCGAAGGGGTGCTGTTCGAGGGGGCCACGGAAGGTTGCGCGGCGGCCGTGGTTGGCGGGAAGCTCGTCGGGACGGTCAAGTCCAAGCGGCTGGAGGTGACGAGGGCGGGCAAGATGGAGGGCACGGCGGTCGTTGAGATGGCCGAGATCGCTGGCACGTTCGAGGGAAACCTCACGGCCACCAAGGCGCTAAAGGTGCGTTCACACTTTCCTACAGTTTTCGCGCGTGCGATGATGATGAAGCAGCAGCAGCAGGTTTTTTCTCTAGTCTACTGCTGTGGTGATAAAAATTGAATTGATAGTATTTGAGAGGCGAGCGAGGGAGCCCGTTTTGAGCACCCGCGTGCTTCTTCTTCTTATTTCGCGTCGAGACAAACAACAGCAGCGTGCGCTCACGAGGCGTTTAAGTGCCAACAAACGTGCACAACCAACACAGCAGCACGACGTGTTTATGGTTTCTTTCCTCTCTACCAGATCTCCTCTTTCTTGTGCCACTGAAAGAAATGACAAACCGCCAGCGGGCTCCGTCCGTGCCCGCCTCAATCATTCTGCGTGTAATTGTAGCACATTGGAGGTGGCACCAGCATTGCTTCTTGCTCTCTCACGGTGTCAGCGCCTGCTGTCCAGCTGCCCCGTGTCGCGCTTGTTCATCCCTCCCTACCTCCCGCCCCGGAGACGTAGAAATGACGACGAAGAATTGTTTCAAACTTTAACTTTTGTGGCGAATTGGATCTGCACACAACGTTCCGCCGTCCGCGTGGAAAAATGTTCCTTCGCCGTGCTACGTGACGCGGTGAGCAGGCCATGACCCCCTTCTGCCCTTTTTCTCAACCGTTTGGGGGCAGCCAAGACTCAACCGTTTGGGGGCAGCCAAGACTAGTTTTGCGGACTGCCAATCAATGCCACTGCTACCGGTCGGTGCAGCTGTGCCATCCGTAGGAAAAGCGTCCTCGTCAACAGCAGCAGCAGCAGAAATTGCGTAGAGGTATCAGGCTGCTTCCAAACGCTGGCTCTCTTGCTTGCTTGCTATAAATTAAGTTTAAATTGATTGCCGAACGGCGCCGATGATGACATAAACTTTCCTCTCTCTCTCTCTGATGATGACATAAACTTTCCTCTCTCTCTCTCTCTCTCTCTCTCTCTCTCTCTCTCTCTCTCTCTCGCTAGGCGTTTTTTTTTTTTCCTGCTTTAAGTGCCCTGGCCGCCGAGGACCTCTCTCGACCGTAGGCGGAGCCATATTTTGCCGCCAAAAACACAACAACCGATGCTTCCCTCCGTATACCTCTCACAACTACTTTTCTGTCCATTGCTGCTGCTGCCGTACCGTGCGCACGGAAATGCGAAGTTTTCGTCCACGGCGGGTGCGTGTGTTTGTACAAAGTTTCGCCGATTTCCCATGGTCGTTACAATTGTACAAGTATAACTTCCATGTCTCTCCTCTCTCCTCCTTGCCCGTCTCCGACTTCTTTTTCTCTTGGTCTGTGGTTGGCAGTTGGCAGTTGGCAGCAGCAGCAGCCGTTTTGTATTTTCTCCATTTGAGAACCATATTGTAGCCTCTTGCCGAGAGAGGGAGAGAGATGGATGTGTGCATGCATTCGCGCCACACCCCTTTGCTTAGGCGCTGAAATTTGTTAAACGGCAGTAATGGCGAAGAAAGGGATGATGTGCACAGCAGCTATTTAGCAGTGAAAATAAATCCCATCTCAAACAAACGTCAGGGAAGATGGGAGCTACAGTACTACAAGCAGTACTTGGCACCAGCTGGTATCACTGATACAAATCTTCATCAGTGTAAGGCTTCAAAAGACTCGAAATAAGAAGTAACTCCAGTACCTGGCCGGTTTTCCTCCACTCACTTAAAGACCCCACCACATCCCCTTCGACTGCTGCTGGGGGTATATCTCCCACCGGTAGTATTTTTTTTTTGTTAATATGACACAACGAATCCATCTCTATCATAGAAAAAAGTCTGAGACAGATTAGCAATGAATTCATAGCGTCAGTATTTCTATGCGTGTATGTATTTTTCATTTTTCCTACAAGCAGTGTATGTTTGTACAGCAACAGCGCCCGAACAGCAGTATTTCTATTTTGTTCTTTCCCGCCAGCAGGGGGTGGAAGACTGCAGTAGATCGTTACACACAAAAATCCAGGATGTACAACGATTACCGTAAACGACGGAGTTTTCCAGCAGTTTTCCCCCGGGGAGTGGATCGTTTTTTTTCTGAAACCAACCCCCCCGGGGGGAAATTGACGTACCGCGGGGGGTTAGTTTTTTTCTTTCCAACGCTACCTCGGGGGGAAGCCCCCCCCCGGAGGGTTGTGCAAAAGAATGATGGTCACCATACACACAGAGAGAGAGTGGCGAAACTGACATGGATAAGGTTCACGAGCAAGCGTTCAACAAGCAGAGGGAGGAGGAACGTAAGAGCAACAAAGACGAAGAGAAAAAAGACAGCAAGAGGTATCATTGCCTAAGCTCATGCACAAGAATTCGCAGTTTGTCCGCAGGAATAAGCTGTTTTTATGGTTCGGTTCTACCTTGGGCTGTGAGATCCAAAAAAATGAGTATGATTATTTTTTCCCTTTGTGCGCAAGGTTTCGTCAGCATGCTATGGTACGTTTGAGCTGACTCCAGGGATGATAAGTAGTGCGAGAAATAGACAAGAAAACGAAAGCATTTCACCCATAGAACAACGGCGAGGGCCAAGTGACAAACGGTACACCTAAGTCTCGCTCGAAGCGCAGATCTGCAAATGAATTTTCCGTCCCATGTCATGCTTTTTGTGCCCCGCGCTGCATTAAAATCGACTCAGAAAATAAGGGAAATACTTCCCCACAGGGGGGAACTCGTGGGAAACTGGTACCCCGGGGGAAATTGAAATACCAGGGTCTTGTTTTTTTTTTTGTCGAAAACTATCTACCCCGGCGCTAATTCAACGAAACCATGCTTCCAGGCCGAAAAGGTAATGGGGGTGGGGGAAATCTGTACTAGGGGGGGAAACTCCGTATTATAGTTTACGGTAGTCAGTCGATTGACGGGGGGCACCACCCTATCCAGCATCTATCTATCTCCGTTCGTTGTACTTGAAAGTACTGCAGAGTCTACTTCTACATCCTTTTCCCTGGTGTAACTGATCTACACTATTTAGAACATGTCTTCGTTCGTGTTGAACGAGACTCTTAAAGTATTGGGGGGAGCTTCCGTCAGGCACGGCGCGAGACGTTGCGCGACATGTATATGTATCATATGCGTGGAGAGTGGGCGGTGTTTGGAGGAGAGAAGATCTTGGCACCGACTACAGCAGTATGATAGTCGTCTTCCGATGCTGCCGAAACACATGGTACTGCTGTAGGTCTTGGCGATGTTCGCGCCGCCGCGCCTGCTTACCATTTTCTCGGCATGGGAGAAGAAGATATGTACTGCGTTGGTATAAATAACCGCGCGGCGAAAATTGTCCCCCGGGCGAAACACGCATCATCATCACCGTTCACCCTTTGTGTGTAAATGGACTCCGACTCCGGACGAAAAATACCTGGAACAATGGAGTGAGACGCACTGCTGTCCATTCGACCGTATATTATATTCTGCGTGTGATCTACCGACTTCCGTTGTTTACGTGTTGTGTGTTCCTTACACTGCTTATTTGCATTTCCCATCCCGAAAAAACAGTTCTTCTGGTGTACTATTTGTAGGAACAAGTAACGCGGGACGAAGAGTTTTCTTTTCGTATTTTCCAAATTAAGAAATATAGTTGTGGAAGAATCAAAATACCGATGGGATTCACTCATGATCACATGATCAATGGTGATCGATGGGCCCGGATGCATTCTGTCATGGCCCCGTCGCTGCACTCATTGTGTGATAAAAGTCCTCCGGTTCACGGCAAGCTGCTGAGAATATCATGTTCAGGCAGCGCCATGGCCCCCTCTAGGTTGACCCACGAGCAATGATTTTGTTTCTCTTTGTGGCGTGGCGAATGACGAAGAATGAATGCACTGAGCCTCGAGCCTGCAGAGCTCAGCCACACCTAAGAAGGTGGTGCTCATGTGGGGTGTTCGTCTGGATACTGAAATCAAGTGCTGCAGTGGACATTTAAATCGCAAACTGGCATGCTTATATGTACGTAGAAGGTCGGAAGTCATTTCAGGTGCCGTTTCAAGCACATCACCGAAGTAAAGTCACAAGACCTCGACGTCTCAAAGCTACTCGTTACTTTTTTACGCATTATTTTGATGCCATGATTTTAACGAATTTTAGCACCTTGTGGAGGACACTACTAGGGGTAGAAGTGTTGTATCCATTGGTGCACATACAACAATAGGACGAGGTACGATCTGAGCGGAGTATGATTGCTCGTCGTTAAGCAACAAGAAACCCTGCTATGGATACGACGCTTCCAAAGCCACCTATGCATAACTACCGAGAAGGGGGTTGGGAGGTCTTCGGTTCTGGTCTTCGCTCGCTCGTGGAATCCATGGTTGCTTAGCATACGACAGTAGAAAAACACGTGTAACGTTATTCATTTGTCCATGGCTCTAATCTGTGGGTACAACAACAGTAGCAGTGGAGATGAATTCGAGGGATTTTCTTCAGAAAAATAACAAGAACAGACCAGGTAACGTTTTTATGTTCACGTACGATGCGAGCGTGTGTGCTCACGATCCTCCTATATACTGCCCGTGTTGTAGACGGGCATTGTTGGATGTACAACGTGTTGCTTGTTTTTACGACGACACCGCATGACACGTAGACTCCCTGCAACGCTTGAGCGCGAGAACACCCGTCTCCTCGTCCTGCCACAAGGGCTCTCGATCACGCAACAGGGATATATTTATGACCAACAAGTGTCGCACGATCGTCGGGGGTGATTGCGATAGCCCTCCGTCTCCACACGCAAACCATGCTCTCAACAAAATTTCCACTCGGAGGGCCCCTTGCTCTTATCATGGCTTACACCGAACGTATTTCGAGGGCGGGCCCCTTGCTCTCACCATGGCTTCAACCGAGCGTACCCCCCC